TATAAGTGACAAAAAGATTTGTATCCTCGTGCTGTCTGGGGTTACGGTCACAATAACAGCTGTCAAGGGGGGTGCGGCGCGGTAAGTAAGGTAGCTAGGCACATAGGTAATTCAAAACCCTTTTTTTTTTTTTTATGGTTGTTATTTATGCAGACAGTCTGTCTCCTCCCGTTGTTTCCCTGACCTTGCCTTTGCCTTGCCTTTCGGGCGTAAGGTGAGGCGGCTGCAAATCTTCGGCCGCAACGCAAGAGAAGGAGCGATCAACGATGAGAGTACCTTAACCCCCACCGTGCCCCAACCCACCCACCCCCCCTCGTCCGCCCAGATTTTGGTGGTGGTGGTGTCCACCTCTACGGCCTGAAACAGGTGAGGCAAGGCAAGGCAAGGCAAAAGCTAGAAATGTCGACGTACCACGGTATTTGATTCATTACGGAGTGGGAGTAGGTAGAATTCTTCAATTAGGTAAAGGTGGTGTGACGGGAACCGTACGTACCGTGCTGTCAGTCAACCTACCTACATAGGCCGCGGATCGCGTATGTGGGTATTTGAGGGGGGGGGGGGTTTGCCGTCTCCGACCCCGAGGCCCCGGGGTTTGGCTGACGGACGGACGGACGGACGGACGGGGGGGGACTGTGCCGATATGCGAGGAGCGCGCAGACGTCGCTCATCGCTCATTTATCAAAAAGATTTTGAGAGTCGTAATAGAACAGAACGGAATGGAATGGACGCAACGCGCATTGCGATTGCAAAATGGCATAATTTTTGCGGGTGCTGCTGGTGAGGCTGACTGCTGCTTTGGTTCTTCAATTGACTTTGACTTGCAATGCCCTTTTTTTTTCCATCTCTCGAGTTTGACAGTGGTAGATGACATGACCGGGGTGAGGGGCCCACTGATGAGTTTGATTGATTTTGGAGTTTCTCGACAAGATGTGACGCTTGGCTAACCACACATGACTTTGAGCTGTCTCGTATATTCATGTTATCAAACCTAATAATCTCAGCGGAGAGAGAGAGAGAGGGGGGGCAAAAGGCACACCGTAACCCTCAAAGGATCAGGATTATTTACCCCTTCTTTCCTCAATCTCCCGCCCATAAGAAAACCCCCTTGTATAACACAAGCAAATCAGTAGCATCTCAAAAAGTAAAACCGTTCAGAGATCAACTTATTCCCGTTTCCCTTTTGCTACCGTGGGCTGTGGCCACGTTGAGGTCTTTTGTAGTCAGGAGCTTGGTGTTTTCTGCTTGTTCTGCTATGTAGATGGAATCAAAGTCGGCCCTACCTCTCACCGTTGTGCGATTTTTTTTTTTTGTAGCTGGCATAACCATATAAATTGCCTCATGTGAAGGTGGCCGGAGGTGCTCTCGATGTCGATGTCGGGTGTGTGATCATGTTCTTGTTCCTTTTCCAAGTTTGAGAAACACGGCCGTGAATAGTGCAAAGAAGCTCACGATATCCTCAAAAGATCCCCTCGTACACAGATTCTCTAGCGTATGTATCATGGTGCAGATAAATACTAATTTTGTCTTTCAAAATTACAGTTGTTAAAAAATGAGCCTCTCTGATTCAATAGCCTTCTATAAACGTTCTCCCTAGGATTGTGATGGACTTATAATACTGAGGCAACCGGGCCGGCTGGAAGCATACACAGGAAAAGAAGACCCAAGCACCACCTACCTTAGCTCATATGCGGCGGGCCAAGTCCGCCCGGATGATACTGCGTTCGCCCCACGCCAGGCAACAATCCATTCAAATCATCAAATAGGGCCTGCGTGTGCGTGTCATAATACATATCATCGCGGCCGAAGTCAGCCTCCCCAAAGTCCTGGCCCGTAAACTGCACGGCCATCTCCGGCGTTACGGGCTGGATCATCATGTCCTCCAGCGGGCCCTGCTGCTGCTGCTGCGTCGTCTGCGCCCGCTGCTGCTGATTCTGCAACTGCTCCTCGCGTCTAAACGAGATGCCGTTCGCTGGAGACGCACGACTTGCGTCGTCAGACTCGGTCCGCGGCGGCGTCGTGGAGATATTGGGGTCGTGAATCTGTCGGAGGCCCCTCCGCGCCATCCACGTCTCGTAAATCCTCTCCTGCAACTGGTTGAACGCGGCTCGGTCGTACATGGCAGCCCTCCTCTCGTCATTCGCAAAGTCCGGGTCCCGGGCCGCCAGGTAATCCAGCATCATATCCGTCCCGACGCTGGTGTAGAACTCGCGCATGCTGCAGAGGTCCTCGGACAGCGCGCCGTCTATATACGGCGACGACGGCCGCGGCCTAGAAGGAAACACAATATCCCAGATGGTGAACCACTGCTCCTCCGGGCTGTGGCTCGGGTTCGCGCGCTTCGAGACCTGCCGCATCCGGCCCTGTGACAGTCCCTCGTGGTGGACGATGTGTCCCTCATTGACCACCTCGCAGCGCCTTGCCCGTGCGTGCCGGTCTCGCGTCTCCTCATCCTGGAAGGCGGCGCCGCAGCAAGGGCAGGTGATGGGCGCAGCATGGAATCGGTAGAGGTGGCTCTTGACGTACTTGATCTGGCTGAGAACCTTTTTATAGCATTGGCGGTGGTTGTCAGGATCGTTTTTCCAAAACGGACACGCAAACATAAATTTTGAGGGGTTCGCTGGGACTTTAGGCTTCTTGAAACCCGGTATCGCGTTCGACTCCCCGCCGTCAGAGGCATCTTGGTCGGGCGGATCGGAGTGCGATCGCTTCCTCGAAGACCGGCCCGAGTCAGGCGTGTTGGAGTCGACTCGCTGGCCAGAGGGCCGTCGACCCTGGACGCCTCGTTCGCGGATTTTCCAGTCTTGATAACGCTGGAAGAGGTTGCCGACGATGTCCTCCATGTGCGGCGCCAACGGATCACTCTGATCGAGGTGGCAGGACTCCACTGGGGAGTTCGGGACCGAGAATACACCAGACTCGACGGATGATTCGTCTCCGCTGTCGCTGGCCGAGTCGCACTGCTCCTCGACGGGAGCGAAAGATTGTCGAGAGGTCAAGTTTGCGTGCCAGTTGAGAGGTAGCTTGGGCGGACCAGAAACAGGTCGCGGCATTCTCTGTGGCGCGGGCTGGACCGGCCGCCCGAACCTTACTGGAGACTCCATTGAAGTCTCGAGCTGGAGGCTCGGTCTGGGAGTGCGTGTAGCGGAAGGGAAGATGGGGTGACCATCTTTATCCTCTGCGAGGGAAAAGCGATTCTTCGCTCTCCGAGTTAGATCATTACCAAAGTTGGAACTTCTTTGGATGGGCGGAGACTCGATTAGTGAAGGTTTTTGTTGAGGTAAAACTTCATTTTGAGGTACACCGGGAACGTTTGTTGAACTGATGCCAGGCACCGTCAAGGCCTCGATGTTTGATGCCACGGGTCGTTCGACATCGCCCGGGGTGCGTAGACTAGCGCTTCCTTTCATTCGTCGCAAGCCTTTCAAGGAGTTCGGAAGAGATCTTGACATTCTTTCCTTCTCTGCATCCAGTTGTCTCTCCTTCTGCGTCTCCAGTGTGTCCTTGAGGGTTGCAAGTTCACCTCCCACCTGCGCTTCCTGAGGTTTTTCATTGGTAGTTGCTGTGAAGATGGCGGTGCTGTGCCGGCGCAGATGCCTCTTGGGTCGCCGCGGGACGTCCAAAGTCTCCTCGCCGTCCGACTCGGGCGATGAACAGCGCATGAGAACGATGGATCCCCCCTTCTCAACTTGAATCCTCACGTCCCCGATCCTTATTTCCTGGTGCTCGGAAGGATCTCTACTCCAGCCACGACGTCGACGACTTGTATCCGATCCGTAGCCGGAATCGCCCGAGATTCTCTTGCAGTATCTCGCCGTCGAACCCGGCCGCTCCTCCAAGCTGTCCATGGAGGGGCTTCCCCTCTGGTGCTTCCTCGGGTTATGCGGCTGCTGCGGTTTGACGCGATACGCGAGACTAGGCATGTTTCCCGATTCAAAGGACGAGTGACGCCGGTCTCGAGGTTGCGGAGAGTCTAGGACCCAGGAGAGCGGCCGCTCTGAAGGGACACAGGATGAAGGCATCGCGGAAACTTCGGTGGCGTGGTCGACGTTGGGTGGGCGGCGGGAAGCGCGGTTCATGAAAGGGAACTGATATGCCAGGTCTCTGGAGGCCTCATCGACCCGTGACGGCGCGGTCACTGATGACCTGGATGATGCAACAACATTGCGTCCTTGTGTTGCATCGAGCCTCGCCGTACGGCTTCTTGCGACTGTCTTGTGTCCCATGCTGCTCACAAAATACTGCCAAAACCCCAAGTGCCGACAGAACTTCGCAATTGCGAGGCGCAAAATGTGGAAAAAGTCGTCAGAAACGTCGAAGAGGAAAAGGGAAGGGCAAGGAAAGGGGGGGAAGCAAGCCCTGAAATGCCTTGAAGAAAAGCCACGGCAACATTTCGAAAGGGCGCATTTGCGCTCTTGTCGAATATGCAGGCTGCGCCATGTCAGGGGTTGCGATCCGCGCCAACTCTAGGCAAACGCATGCAAGTGCGGCCAATGATGACGATGCTGGCGACCGAAAAAAAAAACCCTTTTTCCCCTTCGACGCGACTCAAGATGGCATCTAGCAAAACTGAAGGATTGCGCAGCGTCGCGCAAGTATCGTGCGGGTATCACGCAAGTGATGATGCATGGAGCGCTCTCTCCCCCCGCGATTTCCCCCCACGATTTCTGAACGATATTGATGAAGATCTGGAAAGCCTCACTGAGGCCAAACAGCGCGTTCGTGCCATTACGATCTCCTCAATTGAGCAGAACTCGATGGAGGCCAACCGCACAAGTGATTGATTTGAATGGCTTCCTCAGGAATCTATAATTACGGCAGATGTTCCGCGCCCTGAGATGAGGCATCTTGTAAACGTTATCGCCAACTCTATCCTCGTACATGCCGTGGTAGTTGTGCATTGCAACCTGTAAGAGATTAGTCGCTTCAAAACACCAACAACCTCTTACCCGCTTCTCGTCCACACAATGTCTCAAAGATCCGCACGATCCGTCACCACCACATCAAATGGCGGGTGAGTTTTTGCCTCTTTAGCCCTGAAGGAAATCGCATGCTGACAGTGGGGTGGTGTGTCAGAGCCGCTGGCTATGCGGCGGCAGGGCCGATGATGGATAGGTATCTTCGAAGCCCGATGGAGCTGCCCGAGAGACTTGTCTCCATTGGGAGCGGCACCTCATCAACACGAACGAGTTCGAGCAGTCGCCAGCAGACACAGCGTTCCTTGACAGCATGGGATGCGCGATGGACGCAGGCTGGCCAATCGTCTTAGATGGCAACCCCTGCTCACATGACGTGAGAGGGCCAGGGTCATCAGGCACGAGGTCGGGATTCGCGTCAGACGTTGATAAGCAATCTTCGTGGCCGCCGAAGGAGCGAAGATGATTTAGATAACCGCAGTGGTAGAAGCCGCTGCTAGAATATTGTGAGCACAAGATGAGAAGAACTTGGTGTCGCGATAAATACACAAGGGAGAGAAGATAAAAAGAGAGAAGATAAAAAGAGAGAAGATAAAAAGAGAGAAGAGAGAAGAGAGAAAGAGATGACTAGGGAATCTCTATAGATCTAGTCACCGAGGGGAGCTTGGAGCTTGGAGGGGTTGGTGGGGTTGGTGGGGTAGTTATGTACGATAATGGCATGGACAATCTCGATAGATGCATATACCCGCTGAATAATACATCTTTTCTTAGCTGGGTATTTCGGCGATTCCCTACACTTATAAACCGGCCCAGCCCTCAGCGACACACCCTTTTCCTTGGGTACTTTTGTTCTTCTGCTTGTACATATAAGCCGTATTCATCCTGTGAGTCTCAGGGCTAATTTTACACTTCAATGCTAAAACCCATCTCTAACGAACCAAGGGAACCGTAACAATGCCTTCCCTCACTGAAGCAACCGCAATCTTCTGGGCCCTCGTAGGCCCCTGGATGTTCCTCCTAAACGCCTTCTCCTATCTTCCCCCCACAATCCTCCGCCTCCTCCGCGCCGGCGACTACGCCGCCCTCACAACCCCCTCCCGCGTCCAAGACGCCTGGTTCTCCGCCTTTTGGGCCTGGCTGGGTCCCAACATCCGCGTGGGCAGGTCAGACATGATGGTCGCGCTCCTCGAGGGCCGCGTCACGGAGGGCAAGGAAGTCGAGGACGCAGTCCACCCGCCCATCAGCGGTGTCGTGCTGGAAATCGGTCCCGGGTCCGGCATGTGGGTGGACCTCTTCGCCAAGGGCGGCGACGACGGGAAGAAGAAGTCCGCCGACGCAGCAGCATTAGCTGGAATGGCGCGCGGCGGAGTCAGGAGGCGTGTCGCAGAGGGCGTGACCCGGGTCTACGGCGTGGAACCAAACACCGAGGCGCACCCGGCGCTGAGGCAGAACGTGCGGGACGCCGGGCTTGAGGGCACGTATGAGATTGTCCCCACCGGCATCGAGTCCCTCTCCGACCCCACGGCGTGGAACGGCAAGATTGAGAAGGGCAGCGTCGACTGCATCGTCTCGATTCTTTGCCTCTGCAGCATTCCTGAGCCCGAGAAGAACATTGCTGAGCTCTACTCCTATCTCAAGAAAGGCGGTAGGTGGTATCTGTACGAACACGTTGAGGTGATGGAAAGCTGGCCAATCCGGATCTATCAGCGTAAGCATATCTCAATGAAAACGACTCAGGGGGCTTGTATCAATGCTAATAATGTCAGGTATCGTCAACCTGGTATGGCCTCGGGCTTTAAATGGTTGCCAGCTGTGCCGCAATACAGGTCATACACTCAAGTCCGCAGGGCCATGGGCAAAGATTGACATCCGTCAACCCGTGTCCGAGGAATGGTACCAAGTGGTGCCTCACATATTTGGAACTTTCACCAAGTGATCCACGGAAGAGGAAAGGCGACCGCATGCCGGTTCGGCCACCCAAATCGTCGGGCTGCGATCTGTTGCTCAATACACAAGGATGATCAAATCATCATGATACATATGTCGTTAACTGCCGGACTTTTCTCATGTCATTACCATGTTTAAGGTGCATTCAATGGTATTGTGCATAAGCGATGCTCGTATTACTTGTACTAGGTAGCTAGCTATACTGCTTGACCCCAGTCACCATTAGCGCGTAATTCTTCAACCCATCACTCTTGACCATCGTCTCCAGGCTCACAGGTGCTTGTAAGCCAACCGACGCATCAAGGTGGTTCTATGTAGTACGCTCTGAATCTGCCCCCTTTATCGACCAATCTTGTTGACAACCTCCAGCCAACTTTTACAGGTTGTTCATCCGCAATATCTGAGCTAATTTGAAGTACTAAGTGGATGGAAACGGGCGATAATGTCCCCAAGTGCCTGAAATAGCTTCGTCTCGTCAGATGGGGTGAGGTTGAAGTAAACGGATAAGCCAGCTCGGAGTAGCTTCCAAGTCCCGTGAAGGCCGATCCTTTCGAAATCTGTTTCGAGAGCGTTAACTAGTTCCCCCAACTTTGATGGTGTGGTGGCGAAGATGTCGAAGACATCCTCAGCTCCTTCAGTCAGTGCCGAGACGTCGGTTGGAGTAAGGCTGGTAAGATGCTGCCGGAACGCAACGGCAAGTTGCTGCAAGTCGGCATCGCCTTCCAATATCGAACTGATGATTGTCATAACCGAAGGGATGTAATCACACAGTGGGCTGCAGATCTCTTCGCAAATGAACTCCAGGGTAGCTGATTGGAGGGCGTCCTTGATGACAGCATGACCGCCTTGGTCATTTGAATGCTCGGACGGGGCGAGGGCGGCGTGGCTAGCCTGGGGCAATTTTGGTATAGTCGGTCGATTGAAGTCTCCGAGACTAGAGCCAGTGAGAATAGCTTCGTAAAGCCTCCAGACGTCGGCGGTGACTTCCATAGACGATAAGACGACCTCCATGACGGAAGGGATCAAGACACACGAGGGAGGATGCCTTGTGCAGAAGTGTTCCAGCCCGTCCTGAATTAATTGAACGACCTTTGGCGGCGTCAGTGTGGACGAGTTGGAATTTTGGCACTGGCCGAGGACCTGGCACCAGATGAAGTCAATGGCATTGTTGAATGCGTTGTCCGAATGAACTGTCTTGGGATTCAGGAACCACGGCAGATAGGGGCATCTGTCTGACTCGGGATGATCTCGACACCACCTCAGATATTGGAACCAGGCAGGAAGGGATGGGTTGCTCGGCGCACGCCAGTTTCCTTGGCATTTCGGAGTTATAGAGGGTGACACTGGATTGAACTTGTCGCGGCTGATGAGGCCGTATTCGGGGTCCATCTTTAGGCGCCACGGACAGAATTTAAATTTGTAGCAGTCGGAATCCGCGGGATTGTGGAAGCACCAGGCATACTGATCTTTTACAATATCCAAGCAGACGTTCCTCAAAAGAGAGGTACATGGCGTCATTTGAGGGGCCTCCGACCGCTTAATGTAATTGACGGTTGGCGGTTGACGGATGCCCAGGCGAAATTTGGTCGTGCCAGCTACGGCACCAGAGCAACTGAGACTTTCGAGCTTGTCGTCGAAGATACAATTGTTCCGCTGACTGTCTTGGACGAGTCCAGAAGAACGATTGAGGCAGAAGCCATTGACTAGGTGCCCATCGACAGGTTCATCAACCAGAGAGACACTAAACTCGCTAAAGGAAGTGTCAAAAGTACCAATGGTGAAATAAGCACAATCATTGTGCTCCTGATGGAAATCGGCGCCTTGGGGAATGCCTTGGGGATTATTAGATGGGGCCTGTGGCACAGGAAGAGAGACTGCGGTGGCGACTGAAGCCGAAGCAAACAGCAGCGGAGACGTAGCGAGGGCGGTGAACTTCATGATTGATACTATTGATATGGGGAACTCCAAAAATATTGATGGGATGAATGGGCATTGGACGATAAGGAGGTTGGGGATGGATGATGCCGATGGGGATGTTGATGTTTGGAGGAGAGAGACGGCGTGGGAAGAGTCGAGGTTTGGTCGACCTCAAGGCACCAGAGTATATTGAGAAGCTGGTCGGGGACACCTGCAGTGTCGAAAAGAAGCTTCCAATTTGAATCAAATATCACTTCCTCAAACGAGAAAAACCTTGTTAAAAGGAGGAAGGGGAGGTTCGACAGGAAAGGAGCAGGGCTGACCCCCTGTCCAAATTGCGAGGAAGATAACCGGCGATCCAGCTCAAGAAGGAACAGTAATTCGCTAAGGTACACTAATACTTTGAAGAGGTAGTAATAGTAGGAAAATGGAGAAGGAGGGGGTTCACCGGTGAGATCGTTTGAGAAAGACAAGACGACCACTCGCCGTTTACCTTGACAAAGGACCACATCATAAGGAAGGACCGGGGCTCCAACTGAGGACGACCGCTTTTATGATATTTGCAAACACACTTTAAATCACCCCATTGATCTGTCCATATTAGCGTCCGAGAGTTAGACGTCTTACACTCTTGCCTTTGGAAACCTATGCACAAATACAAATTGTTTTTATATTATCATTCAAGCAGCTGCCTGGGTGACCAAAGGCTGAGCGCCAACTCTGGTTGCCTCCTCGTTGAGAGCATCAATCTCAGCCTGCACCAAAGGGATCCCCGTCTTTTCCCTCTCCTGCTGTTGCAACTGCTCGATCTCGCCCGGAAAGTATATCCTGTCTACTCCCGCCGCCTTGTCTGACCCGACAACACGCTGGTACAGGTATTCCATCCTTTCGCGGAAGTCATCGAGGCTCATGAAGAGATCTGGCTTGATAGCGATTAGGAAGTGACCAACATCCGCCGGTTTTGAAGGGTCGTACGGGTTAGTGACGTGACCAGCAAAAGCAGAGCCCGAGAAAACACCAGAAAAGACGTCCATCATGATGGCCAATGCCGAGCCCTTGGGACCACCCATCGGCAGCATAACACCTCCCAACGCTGCGGCGGGATCATCCGTTGGACGGCCCTCGGCATCGAGAGCCCAGTCTAAAGGAATCTTCTCGCCGCGTCTCTTGGCCTTGTAGATTTTGCCCCTAGCAGCAACCGACGGGGCCATGTCCAGGATGAACGGCTTATGCTTCCCTGGCGCACCACAAGCGATCGGCGAGACACCCATGAGTTTGCTCTGCCCGCCCCAAGCCGGGAGCGCAGGGCTCGAATTGGTAAACACCAGGCTCATCATGTCCGCATCCAGAGCCTGCTGCACCACCCATGCACTCATACCAAAGTGATTGGAATGCGACACGCTCGCCATGCCAATTCCGAAAGTCTTGGCGGACTCGATCGCGGCTGCCATACCCATTTCCGCCGCAACGAAGCCGAAGCCATTCTTGCCGTCGACGTGCGCCACAACGGGGGTGACTTGCTTCAACTCGGGCTGGGCGGCGGCGTTGAGCACGCCCTGGCGGACGCGCTCCATGTAGGAAGGGATGCGGTTCATGCCGTGGGTGTCGACGCCGCGTAGGTCGGCAGCGACGAGACAGCGGGCGACAATCTTTGAGTTTTCTGCGGGTACACCATTGCCTTTGAGAATGTCTTCGACGAGACGGCGGGCTTCGGAGGCCGTTACGGGTATCTTTTGGGACTCGTCCGCCATCTTGACGATCGCTTGAACGGTGTGACTGGGTTAGACAACTGACGCTGTGCTGTGCTGGGGTTGGAGATGATGTGGAGCACTATGAAAAGATCTCGATACGACAAATGACTGCCGGTTTGAGTGACGACCAGTCACGAACTCCAAATCCGAAATGACCTTTCTTGATATACCAAGGTAACGCCAACGGCGCCGAAGGAAGAGGGCAGTTGAACACGCGCGTTTGGACGGAGTTCGGCCGGCAGTGCGGGCAAACCCCGGCCCAACAAACTAACAAAGGCTCTAAGGCCGCGGAGCTTCCCCGCACAGCCGGTGGCGACCGCCTTCAACCAACTTCATCCTTTTGTCCCGCCTCGGAGAATTCCCGCGTGATTTCCTCCACCCAACATAGGTACCCAAATACCGCATCGCTACTTTATCGTTATGACGGAAACCAGGCAAGAGCTGGCTGCCGCAAAGAACGCAACATGCCCCAAGAATCCAGCTCCCGGCCGACTCCGCGCCAGGCCCGCAGAACCGCGCGGTTGAGGCTCGCTTGCTCTCGGTGCCAGAGGCGGAAGATCCGTGTAAGTGCACATCCGAGTCCGCTTTGAATACGGCATGGTGGTACTAAGTCGGTGTGAGATAGTGTGATGGGAAATTGCCTGCTTGTAACAATTGCAAGAAGGCCGGAGTTGCCTGTACTGACGGCGAAAGTGTCCGTCTTCGGGATCTTCCTAGGGCGTACGGTTGCCCTAATTTCTCCCCCTTTGGCAGACTGTTCTGACTATCAACCAGCCAGATTTCGAACTTGATAGAGAGAGTTAAATGGCTTGAAAATATTGTCAAGGAAAGGTGTCCCGACATCAACCTGAGCCTAGGCCCGTCTGGAGACTTTGACATGGACATCGATGGTGACGAAACCTTCACAGGTGACTCAATGAATAGAGTCAATAGCGCATCACCTGAGGATAGCCTCAACCTCACAGACAGTCACATTGTCCAGGCACAGCCGGCCCAATCTTTGGAGCCAGTTCAAGCCACTCAGACCGTTCGCTCAGGATCCCGTCTAGTCGAGCCCATTGCTAGCAGTGCGTTGTCACATGAGATCGGGATGGTGTCGTTGGGCAGTAGCCAAGACCCGAAGTATATCGGGCCATCGAGCGGATATTTCCTCGCCCGACTGATGTTGACTTCGAACCGACAGGATGACCAGGCGTGGCCATTGAGGACAGCAGGGTCGACTCCATCCATACCAACCGCTCTGGTTGAGGCGATGCATGGCCCGATGTCAATGCCAAGCAGACATCATGCAAAACTGTTGGCGGAAAACTACTTCGACGTTATCAACTGCCAATTCCCCGTTTTGCACCAACCTAGCTTCGTGGCTTTGATGGATCAGATGTACGAGAGCGGAATTGACATGGAATCCACACCCGCAGCAGCCTTTCAAGTATACATGGTCCTCGCTCTTGGGTCCACGGTACTCTCTCGTCGAGTGAGGACAAGTCTTCCCGGGGAGTCATATTGCCTGACTGCGATGCAATATTTTGATCGAATCAGCATCGACAGCTCGATTCCGGGGCTGCAATGTCTTTTGTTACTCATAATATTCACGATGCACAGTTCCAACATGCGTCTCAACGTTTGGTATTTGAACTACCAGTGCATCGCTGCTGTCCTTGACTTGGGCCTGCAGCGCGACATCAACACTAATGCAGGCATTTCCCTTCTTGAACAGGAGATGAGAACCAGGATATTCTGGGTAGTTTTCACGCTGGATAGAATGATCGCAACTATGATGGGACGCCCGATTGGGCTGCGGGATGAGGCATGCGATCTCCGGGTATGTCCATCTCAGTCCATATTCCGTCGTCACTCGACGTTCGCTAACTCTCTTCTTCTAGCTTCCACAGCGTCTTGAAGATGCCTTCCTGCAGGGATCACTCCAGTCATCAGCCCATCAATCCTCAGGTCGTTTGGCTTTCTCGATACATCTGTTCCGCCTGGCGAAGCTCAACTCAGAGTTCAAATACGTGGCGAACAGCATTGTTCGCGACACACCACGTTACGCCTACCCAGCGGTAATCGATATAAATGAGTGGCAACAAGGAATCCTTGAACGGCTAGACGAATGGTACAGCCATATTCCCAACAACCCGGACTCCGACTACATCCGCACCATCTGTCAGATCAGCTGTCATAGTCTGCGAATGCTTGTTCTCCGGCCCAGCCCCGCCATCCCGAATCCGTCACCCGAGACCCTCAAGAAATGCTTTAGTGCCGCCCGTGAGGCTATACATCTCTTTGATCACCTCTACAAGAAGAACTTGCTTATACATACGTGGAATACCTGTCACTCCGCAGTCCTTAGCATCATCACCATGCTCTACTGCCTGAAGATGGTACCAGAAATAGCGAGACAGACGGCTTTGGATGCCCTCATGTCTGATTTCAGCGCCGGCTTAGGAGTCCTGGCTGCGACGGGCGAGCACTGGTCTGGAGCAAAACGTTGTCGCGACATCTTGGACGAAATGATTCGGGCGACTGTCCGATGGGTGAAGGACATTGTGAGCCAACCCTCGGATGTTGAACCCCACACTCAACGTCGGTCTCTGCGACTGGATTCGGCACATGCGCAGACAATGAGTCCATACAACGATAGTGCCAGCCTTGCTGGCACAGAACCACCGAGACTTGCCTTCCTAGAGGGCTTGACCCAATCAATATCAATGAGCTCTGTAACTGCAAGTGGCTCGGAAAGTTTCCTTCATCAAGATCCGTTCGAGTCATTCCTCGCAAACACTACATTCGGCGATCAGATGCAAACAGGCGACAACACAAATCTGGACAGCATCATGCGAGGCCTGTTTGATGACTTCATACCAACGTACCCGAGCTTCGCTTAATGATGCAGTTTATGTGCATGTATTTTACAAGAGTCATGCAGAATTATAACTGTTTACGGCTTTTGGGACGGACCATCCGCTGTCAGGAAGTCAAAGTCAGCTCCTCCTTCGGCCTGTAAGACGGAACGCAGGTAAAGTCCCCGATAACCGCGGATTCTCTTCCTCGCCACCCAAGGCGCATTGCTGCCACCGTCCTCCTCCTCTTTGGCCAACGCTTCCTTTTTCTCGGCAATTCTCCTCTCGATCTCCTCGTCAGATATTTCGACTTTGATGAGGCGTTGTTCCACGTCGCAGGTTATGATATCGCCACTCCTGACGATACCGAGAACCGAGTCGGGATCCGCAGCTTCGGGGGAAATGTGCAAAACGATAGTGCCACCTGCTGTACCGCTCATGCGGCCGTCAGATAGGCGGAGCATATCCTCGACTCCCTGCGATGCTAGCTTTCGGGGGATTGGGATAAGCCCCGCCTCTGGCATACCTGGGTTGCCGACAGGCCCGATGTTTTGGAGAACGAGCACGCTGTCGGGCGTCACCTCGAGATCCGGGTCGTCGATCCGAAGGGCCATGTCCGCAGAGCCAGCAAAAACCACTGCTGGGCCGGAATGTTTCAGTAAATGGCGGTATTTTGATGCACTCTGCTTCGTTACAGCTCCGCCTGGGGCTATATTGCCACGGAGCACGGCTAGAGCTGAAGCTGGGAAAAGAGGATCGTTGAAAGGTTGGAGACAATTGACCAAGCTGTCACGGGGAATAGGGGTGAATGGCGTGCTCTCCAGCTCTTCCCCCAGCGTCTTGCCTGTCACCGTCATGGCGTTCAGATGCAAAAGGGGCTTGAGCTCATGCAAGAGCGCCAGCATGCCGCCAGAGTTGTGGAAGTCGTCCATGTAATTCTGTCCGCTAGGCTTCAGGTCGACCAACAGTGGGGTCTTTCTCCCGATTTCATCAAACGTGTCCAGCGTGATCGTGCCGGCTACTGCAGGGTGCCGGCCTATGATGGCCATCATGTGTACGATGGCGTTGGTCGACCCGCCGATGGCCTGCAATACGGTGATCGCGTTGAGGAAAGACTCGCGGGTCAGGAGGTCTTGTGGCTTAAGTTTCTTCTTATGGAGGGCTACAGCAAGACCTCCGGTCTGCTCTGCGATGCGCAGTCTCGTCGATGAGACCGCTGGGGCCGTGGCACCTTTGAAAGGCATCATTCCCAGACCGACAAGGATACAAGCCATGGTCGATGCGGTGCCCATGACACCACAAGTACCTCCCTGTCACAGCGATCAGCAAGCGAGAACTTCTTTCTGGTGATGGACTATACGTACAGTAGGTGCCAGCTCATCATTGATAGCCGAAATATCCTCAATGTCGATCTTGCCAGCTCTGTAAGCGGCCCAGTTGTTGCGGCAGTCTGTACAAGCACCAATTCTTACACCTTTATGGCTTCCTGGCATCATGGGCCCAGTGACCAGATGCAGGATAGGCTTGTTCGCCGATAGGCCACCCATCAACTGCGCAGGAGTTGTCTTATCACAGCCTGCCAAACCAATCAACACACTCATCTCAATTACCATTCCACTTCAACATGGTTCACATACCTCCAATAAGAACCACCGCATCACAAGGCTGCGCCTTGATCATCTCCTCCGTATCCATGCTCATCAGATTCCGCAGATACATGCTCGTCGGCGACGCAAAGCTCTCATGGATACTAATTGTTGGGAAGTCAATCGCCAGTCCGCCATTGAGCTGGACGCCGCGCTTCACGGCCTCAATCAGCTGCGGGACGTTTGCATGGCACGGGTTGAAGCTCGAGTAGGTATTGACGATGCCGATGATGGGCCTGGAGAGCGCGTCCTCGCTGTACCCGAGGGCCTTGATGAAGACCTTGCGCAGGAAGAGCGAGAAGTGAGCGTCGCCGTAGGACGTCAGGCCCTGCCTCAACCCCGCGGCGTTGGGGTCGATGGGCGTTGAGAGGTCATAGTCTCCCGTCACCGGGGCCTTGCCGTCTTCTTTTTTGGGTATTGCTGTTTGGTCGCTCATATCTGCTTTGGTTTGGAGTTTGGGGACACGACCTGAGGAGACAATCTAATGCGACGACGAGAATTACAATTCCTCCTCTTATGGTTGGTCCCACCCAAGCTGAACCGGAGTCGTGTTGTCGATGCGGGGACTCCGCATGTCGTAATCGCCTGGTCCAATTCGGTAATAAGGCAAAAGCGGCCGAAGCTTTCGGCGGCATCGGGATTTCTCCGTCTTAGAGCCAGCGGACGACGAGACCGTCGACGGACATCCCTTTAGGAACATTGAGATATGTTTGATACTCTATGTGCATTGTTATTATTTATATTTACTTTCACAATGTAATTCGCTCCGAAACTCGGGCACCTTCGTGTAGGGATTTTCATCCTATCCTGAACATTACCAACGGTTTTTCCGCTCCATCAAGAATCCCCTTTTCCGCCCAACCCATCGCCATGCTCAACCTCCAAGGAAAAGTCGCCCTTGTTATCGGCCTCGGTCAATCAGGCACAGACGGCTGGGGCATCGGCGCCGCCTGCGCCGTGACCTTCGCCGCCCAGGGCGCCGCCGTCTTTGGCGGTAACCGCAGCGTTTCCCACGCCGCCAAGACCAGGACCACCATCGAGGAGGCCGGCGGCGTGTGCGACGTCGTCGCGACCAACGCCACGTCGTCTGCGTCCGTGAAAGCGCTCGTAGACGCGTGCGTGGCGAAGCACGGCCGCATCGATATCCTGCTGGCTAACGTCGGCGGGTCCCAACCGGGTTGTGCCGCGAGCATGGACGAGGCGACGTGGGATGCGCAGGTGGATCTGAACCTGAAGAGCGTGTACCTCGCGTGCCATTACGTTTTGCCCATCATGGAGAGGCAGGAGACGGGTGGGAGTATCGTCTGCGTTTCGAGTATCGCGGGGATGCGGTACATTGGCAAGCCGCAGGTTGCGTATAACGCGACCAAGGCGGCCGTCATGCAGTTTGTCAAGGCGACGGCCGTGGTGTATGCGGGCAAGGGGGTGCGGTTGAACACGGTCGTGCCGGGGTTGATGGAGACGCCGTATACGAAGCAGTTGGCGGAGAGGTTCCCGCCGGCGGAGGAGGGCGGGTACGAGGCGTTTAGGAAGATAAGGGATGATCAGGTGCCTCAGGGGCGGATGGGGGATGCGTGGGATGTTGCGCATGCGGCGTTGTTTTTGGCGTCGGAGGAGGCGAGGTATATCACTGGGCAGAAGATTGTTGTTGATGGGGGGATTACTTCGTCTACGGGACGCACTTAGAGACCTTCAATTCATCTTGTTGTTGCATCTACTACATTTTCTTGGAGATTTTGTGTCAGAGATTCGAGACATCAAGTTTCTCATTTCGACAGAGTAATAATACGATGCTCTGTGAGAGAGATGGTGGACAGTTTCATAAAGTCGCAAACCCAGCTATCCCAAGTCCGTAGTAGCAGGTATGTGCATCGTCCCCGATCAACGCACACGTCTGGCTTTACATATCTGGAGCACAAAGAGTAAAAGCATTTTCTATGGCACAAAATGGGAATTGTATGCTCTGCCTAGGTTTCTAACAAGTACTTGCTCTAATCCTCAAGTCAAACCTGGACCAACGCCATCCTCCTACGCCGAACCATTTGCCAACCCCTTTGCCACAAACTCGCACATGTACTCGTCCTCTTCATCAACCTCAAAGTCAAATCTAGTCACATCCTCCTTGAACGGCCACAGATATGTGCTCGTCACCCTTGATTTGATTGCTTTAGCTTCAATGTTTGCATTCGCCAACCTCTGGTTTCCTTGAAGGAGATCGCGGGGCGGGGCTTACCTGTGATGCTCCGGACTAGCTTGATATGTCTCGAGTGCCTCGCGGTCCTGATGGAAGCTCAGGAGCGCAAAGTGGTAGCCTTTGCTCCTCTCCACGGGATCCGTGATGGACGGGCCGCCGACTAGGAGGCGCTGGTCTTTGACGCAGGAGAGGGACTTTAGCGTCTTGAGTTCTCGGACAAATGTGTCCCTGTGTTCTGCCGACACGTCGGGGCGGAATTTGAATAATACTTGGAGTCCGGGGTCAGAATTATCTCGTTCAACCATGACATGAGGAAAATTGAAGACGGGAAGTTTACCGATGTGTACTACTGTCATTGTGAAGGGGTAAAGGGTCCGAGGCGAGTCTTGGAACCGAGGTCGGGGGTAATTCTTTCTTCGAAAGGAGCGGGATTGTCTTTGATCACCACAGACGTCGAAAGTGGCAGCCGTATCACAGCAGTCTTCGGCAGAGCTGAAAAAGTTATTTTGACTGAATCAAGTTCGGTATGGGTTGTGTGGTGATGTGCTGCGAGTCTCTGGCTGGCTGAGGTGGTGGCGGGGGGGCTAACGGGCAAACCCCGCGACCCGGTCCACGGGCTCCACCTACCGAACGGACGAACCCCGTGGCCCTCGGCTTCGGAAGGTCGACCCCGATTCCATGTGAGTCGGACGTTGGTGATACTGCGTCTAATGACAAATGATTTGAGAATTTTTTATCAAGACAGCTCGAGTTACAATTAAACATGCTAGGCTGAGTTGATCCGAGAATAACTGCAGGATGGGCCACATCGAACTCATGGAAGTATCATCCATGTAGGACACGAACAGAACCATGCAGACGGCCTGGTACTCAAGAGACACGGTTGGTTAATCCCCTGGTCTGAATTATTTCTAGAAACTTGGCCAAACGTGCTCAAACTAACGCATGAGCTCAACCAAGGCAGCAATCTATCACCAAACCATTGTCTGGCGCACTTCATTTGTATTCCCTTGACATCTTGAACGCTACGGGCGTCCGCCTCGACCTATAACTTTCCGTTCTTGATATCGCGGCGCCATGAGTACGAGTGCATGAAGAGAGTCCTCCGCGCCGTCTCCCCCAATTTCACAGGCTTTGTGATCGGCGACAACGTGAACTGGCTCTCAGTGTCCGGGGTTGCGGGGAGAAGGCAGTTGAAATGATCAAAAGAGAGATATTCTTCCAAACTGATATGCTAGGATATCAGCCGAGTGCAATGTAATGTACAGGAGTGGTGACAGGCGTCACTCATTTGCCATGTGGAGGTGACTTGAGCCTCAGTCGTAGAACCTCCACTGAGCCTCCGTGTCCGGACTCAGGGGCAGATTCAGGAGAAGTGCCCGGAGCAGCTCGATTGGCATCGTGTTCGCCCTCAAGATCTTGTCGTGAAGTTCCTTCTCGCCCATCAACCCCTTTGTCAGCACCTCCTCCCGCAAGCCATGCATCTGCAAAGCCCCCAACATGTATCCGGCCTGGTACAGAGGGGAGTACTCGCCGCCGAATGATCTCGTGACCTCTGCCTCGGCATTGGATCGCTCGTGCCCGACCCAGTCGACCAGCAAGTCAACGCACTCTTGGGGCGTCATCTCGCCGAGGTGATACTTTAGAGAGAAGATGATTCTCGCGCAGCGGTGCATTCGCCAGAAGAGGGTGCCAATCTTATCTTCGGGGCTCGCGAAGAAGTCGCCCCTGTTCCAGAAGACAAACTCCCAATACATGGCCCAGCCCTCGACGAAGAAGGGCGTTGAGAAGAGCTCGCGGTACGGGTGGTGACGCTTGCCCATGAACAGTTGTAAACGGTGACCAGGCACCATCTCGTGAAAAACCGTCGCCCGCGAGAAGTGAGGGTTGTTGCCGCGCATCACCATCATCTTCAGGTCGTGGTCCATGGCGGCGGTGGGATACGAGACCCAGAAGGACGAGCCGCCGAGGAAGAAGGGGGACTCTTTTTGACGTTCTGCCGAGATCATGAACATGCGCCACGTCTCGCCTTGGAAACGTTAGCGTCCTATGCCGCCGAGAGGAGCGTATGGAAATACTTGCCCGCGATTTCTGGGACCGTGACCAGGTCATACTTTTTCACAAGGGCCGTGGCCTCATAGGCCAGCTGACTTACCATCTCGGGCTGCTGACCAGGCTCAACATAGGAATTCTTGACATATTCCAGGGCCGCCTTCCAGTCATCACCAAAGCCGGCATCCCTCGCCTTGAGACTGTAGAGTGTGAGATGGTTTCCAACCCGGAAAAGGGCCATTCGGCGTCACATACCCAGATCCGCTTCCATGATTCCCTTCCGGTCGAACGGAGCCCAACTTGATACTGCGTGAAGCCTTCTTCATCTCCTTTTCGCACCAATCGTACTGTTCTTGCGCCAGCTTGAGGAGCTCCTCGGGCGTGTAGGGTATCATCTCCGCTTCGAGCTCCGTGATCAACCCGGCGCGCCCAATCGGTTCTACTGCAGCGCGGATAGACCCGGACCCATTTTTCTCAATGAGCTTGGTGTCTATCGCCGTCTTGATGCCGGCGAGGGCCTCGTTGAGTTCCTTTGTGGGCGCGTCGCACCAAAAAGGGAACAAGGGGTCATATGGAGCGTAGAAGCCATAGAACTCATCGATGTGGCCTCGAATTTGGTCAACGGTGCTCATAGCACGTGAGAAAGTCGAGTCATTGGCTTTGATCTCGTTGGTTTTGATAGCCTTTGTTGTTGCGGCTATCTTCTTGGCCGTCTCGTTCAATACCATGGCTGTCTTTTTGCTGTCAACAGGGACCATGTTTTGACGAGCTTCGCAGATATCGATGAGCGGTTGAACAAATGGTAGAACCGGCTTCGCCAGCTCGTCTCGCTCACGATCCAGAAGCAAGACACGCAGATTCCGCCTCAGATAGTTGCGTAGCAGTATGAAGTCTACCCTATCTTCCTGGCTGTAGGTATCGAACGGTGCCTTGAATAGACTTTCGAGCTCCTCATTGTAGTAACGTTCCAATCGATGAGACCTTGTAGTAGAAAACTTGATGTTGTAAAACTTATTGAGATTCTTTTCATCCGAAGCGACGCGTGTGATCCGTTCCGGCATAGACTCCAAGTCTGCTGCAGTTATCTGGCGTTCACGACAGTCACTCACATCAACCCAGTCGCCGTCCGAGACACCGGCCGGATGAGGCCGAGTTGCAAGATCATGAGTGCCCATGGTGATGACGCGCAGTTTGTGTTCTTGTGATGGCAAAGTCCGACTTGGTGAATTCGAATATTAAGGCGGAGCATCCAGCAGTAATGATCACTTCAAATGTAAAGAGTGCGGGGAAAGCCTCGTTCTTGAAGTAGAGACACGGGGCGTGAACTCTGGAGGCCGCGGGGTGGCTTATCTCGGGCCCGGGATGCCGGGTCCTGGGACAGGGAACGTTGCAGCAGCAATCCTTCAGTGGGGCCGATAACATCCCTAGTGGGAAGGTGCACTGAAACGAAGCTTTTTGGAGGCGGCGGGTTCCTTGCATCATGTTTCCCCTCAACATCCATCATGCAAAGCTCATCCACGATTCATCTCACACTGCGCTAGACTCATTCATGATAGATCATTTCGAGATTAGATTACTTTGCTATGCAATAGATCATACTTTCTCTGTGTGAATTTGATATCAGTCCGGATTGAGTGTATTGTTTTGACCATCACGGCGCTCTAGCACTGGCACTGGACGGCGACAACTTCACTGAGTCTCAACGCCCTCGGCAGCGCTCTCGCCGCGCACAAACTAAACTGAGACAGAGAAAGCGGCATTGGTCTCAAAGCAAGTCTTCTCAGCAGAAATCCTCTCGGTCAACGTATCCTCCGAAGTGCCGGCGAGCACGGTCTGGTTGACGCCGCTCCGGCCTCTGCTGTTGTCGTTGTTGAAGAGGGGGACCAGGGCGGTGCCGTTGCCCCCGTCGTGGATGCGGGCGCTGTACTGAGATCAGAAAGACAGGCTGTTTTTGAGAGCGAAAGAGCCGCAGCTTTGGCCCTGGTTGTTGCCAGCCGAAGCTCGTGTTCAGGTAACGGTAGAGTAGAATCAGTAGATTACTTGCGTTCAGTGTCCACTCAACGGATCCATCCTTGGCGATCTCGAAGATGGAGTAGTAGTGGCGGGAAGAGATGAGGAAACCACCATCATTGAATCTCTCAATCGAGTTGATGCGGAAAAGTTCCCAGGGATAGGTCTGATTGAGTCCAAGGTCCTCCAAGGGGTAGGTAGGGGCAGCGTCAGCAAGAGGGATCTGGTCCTTAGGGATTGAGGTTGATCAACGATTTATAGTTTCCTTGCTCACGGCCAAGCCTTATGCCGGATCCCTTTTCGCGATGCTTCTAAGCTATCAATAACGTATCGTACAGCTGACATTCATGATCTGGGCAGCACCTCAATAAAGCCTAAACCACAAGCGAATTGACGGCCGCACCTTGTCGAAACCGCCATATCAACATAACCACACTAATTATTTTCTGAACGAACATCAGAGAGGTATTGGAAACGAGTTAGGCTGACGTTCCTGCCACATGTGAGCTTGAGGATACTTCGGTAAAGTTGGCAAGCCTATCACGCTTGCGTCCAGTCTCAGCTGTTCTGACAGGAGTCAATATCAGCCAGAGTCACATCTGCATGTGCCGCAGAGGCTGCCATGCAAGATCCAGATTAAGCTTATCCTCTTTGTTGGGACAACCACATGGCGTGCTTGGTCCACTCTAAGGTGCAATATAGGGCTCTAGGATAGAAGAGCATGTGCCATATGAGTTACAGAAATGGTAGGCAGCTCGAGTTATTCTTGAATAAATGTAAGTTACAGCAGTGATGACAAGAGACTCTTTGGGCGTTCAGTTGGGAGGATATCAGCCCGTTCAAACTTAAAAGGGCAATATGTGGACAAGTAAATGCCTTGATTTAAATTCAAGTCTCCCTTTTCCACTTAGCAGTGGAAGCGGTCACATCGAATTATAGACTGGCCGGTCGGCTTGGCGGAGATGAAATTTAAGTACTCATACATTACGCAGGAAATTGGCAAATCAACTTGAGTCTGAGGCTAGGAGCTGGGATGGAAAACACTGCTCCGGACCAGTGGTAATCAATATGAAAATACTGGAAGATTAATTAGATGATTTTCACAGAACTGGATGGTGAAAAGCACCCGCATTCTTTTCCAAGCTTACTCCAAGAGAAATTTTATCATAGTGATGTTCATTGACAATACCATCACCAGGCTTGGCCATCCTCAATAGTCTATTCTGCGGCTCTCGACACCATATCCGGTTAGAGCAAGCTGGCTGTAACCTCTCTTGCGCATTGTTAGATGCACCGAACAAGGGCTTATCACATATGCAGCAAGCTTTCAACTGAGCTACGTTACGCGCAAAAAAACGTCAATCTCTTTCAATTTGTTGTACCTATCCAGTACACAGCGTTCTATCTCAAAATCAAAAAAACATGTGGTCACGAATCAAGCCGAACGCCTCATTCCCAGAGCAGGCATGATACCAGCTATGCAATTTTCTCTACATCAAGATCAAAGTCGCCATCTCCTGCCAAAATGCATGCCTCACCTTCCTTTGCCCAATCCGAATCACGAGACAGGAGGGCAGCGGCTTGACACTCGCACTCCGCATTCGGGTTGCATTTGTCTTCGGCACAACACGTCCACTTAGCCTCGACGTGCGCCTGTCCAGCAGGAGCCATCGACTGCACAGTAGACTTTTTATCGGACATCGACACAATTTGAGGTTTCTTCTTGCCAGAGCAGAGTCTGCATTGGACCCGGGAATTGGTTTCCAACTCCATGATGTGCTTCGAAGCGACCTGTGAGAGGACGAGCTGAAACTTGTAGTTGACGAGCAGGTCGGGACAGCTGGTAGGGACGCTGGACATGATGGGGAGGTCCATGAAAAATCGATCGCTGCGGTAGTTCATATCGGTTGCCTTACCGCAGAGGACGAAGGCTGTCTCGGGATGAGGGATTAGGCGCATCTGAGGTTTTCGGAGGCCGTTGTTGTAGACACTGGAGCAACGCTCCTCGCAGCAGACAATCAGGATCTCGACTTTCTGACACATGTCGGCTGTTTGATGAAGTGTGAGTATTTGGAGTGAGGCAGTGTGTAGGAGGTTGTCTTGATAGATTTGACGATTGGGTTGTGGTCAGTGGTAATGGAAATGATGCGACGGGGACTATACCGAGCCTGAAAATGGTTTGGATATGACTCAAATGAGAGTGGTCTAATAGAATGGCAAGCCACATTTATACTAGGTACTAACCTAAATCACCAGATAACCAAAGCCGCCTGTCCAGGCACCGACCTGAAAGGGCTGAGCAGGCAAAGTGAACGCTTGCGGTAACAAAATACTTGATCGAGTCGCCTAGAATAATGATGTCTTCAAGAAACAACCATGCTGATGTCCGACTCCACGAGAACAATCGAGTGCTAGTTCGGCACTGGGCGAATCCTTTGTTGACCTAGAAGCCCGGTTCAGCTTTGAGACTCGAATAGAATCATTCCAGACCTTGGCTTCACTTATCGAAGCTCAGGAAAGGACAAGAAAGAAGGATTTTTCATCAAAGAGACTCGATTATTTGAGCATCTTGGTGTCGTCTGGCATCTAGCAACTTGGAGTTATAACACATTTACATACTCGGCTACCAATAGTATCAACTTAGCTATAACACAGCCGAGCACACCCAACTAGACGAACTTTTGATCATTCTGAGCCTTTCCATCCTTCCAGACACCGGCGTGCGACTGATGCGCCCAGGGTCGACACGAATATAAGTATTGACAGCTGTGCGACCGACAAATTACATGTAGTTCTCTCTTGTTTCATTTATGGACAGGACTGTGCCAGGGATAAGGGGTGGTGAGGACGAGAAGAACGAGATGAGCTCCATGCAAACTTGACTGGAGCTGTGAAAACAACGTGTTTGCTCACGGTGCAGAGTCTCAAGGAGGCAAAACCCATGAGGCTGCTGCTGTCGTTGGTAGCACGCCTTGTAAGGGATACAGATAACACCGATCGCTCTGCTTTTGATCAAAAAAGCATGCAGTAAGTCTTCGGAGATTTGATTGAAGGTTGAATGTGTACGCGCCCAATCTCGCGGCACCTTGAAGTCGAGCAAAGAAGGGGGAGTCGAACATCGTGTCATCAAGACATGGCCAGCTTTCAAAAGCGCCCCTGGCTAATGTCTCTTCTGGCTTCCAAAATACAACCCAGGGACTCAGCCATGCATGCATGATCTCATTTGATTTGCAAACCAAACGCTGTTGTACCACTCTGCTTGCTTTTCGTGTTACTTGTACCTGCAGCCAGGAATTAGTATACGAAAACCCAGCAAATAGGATTGAGGGGACAGCCGGAGAAAAAACTGCAATGCAAGGATCGAGATCCCGGCGCGGGCCATCCGCCCCATTCGCCTGTTCGAGACCGGCGGACTACCGGTACCGTCAAGGGGGCGGTGCAGTTTTACGAACCCGATGGATATTTTTGGGCAACGTAGCGTGCTTGGCCAAGGAAGAAAATCCCTTATTTTTTTTTTCCCCTCTCATCGAATGGAATTACGGATCTGCGACAAAATCTGACCGGGACGGCTACAACGGCATCTAAATCAGCAGTATGAGACATACCAAACAGCCACAGCATCACAGAGCCGTTGGGTCGGGCGTCTGTAGGATGGCCTTAATGACCGCTAAGCGGCTTCCGAGATGAGGTGGCGCAAGACTCCCGTCTCAGACCCGCTTAGCTCCGTCCAGGGGCGTTGTTAGACCCGGGGTCAAGGCAGGCGTTATGGAACCACTTGACATACAAAAGTCTGGGTGAAAAAGATCTTTTGACGGCGAGGAATATTCTGATCTTCTTCTCTCACTTCATCCCTAATACCGGCCACCGACCTCGAAGCCTATCGTCAACCTCGGGTCATTACATTCGTTCATAATCATCGCAATCGTTTGAACTGCTCTTACAACCTAATCAGAGCTATTATACCAAATTAATACTCCACTACGGCAAGCCGACAACATCAACACAGAATCACCAACATGTCTCTCAGATTCGTCACCTCCCTCGCCATCATGGCCACCGCCGTCCTGGCCAGGACAGACCTTGCCGGCTGCGTCTCCTCCGACTCGGTCGTCACCCCCACCCAGGGCGGCACACCCTACGCAACCCGCGTGTGGTACGTCCCCGGCACCGGCGAAATCTGCGCTGCCCTCGACTGCGGCGGCGGACGCGCCCCTCCCAAGACCACCGTCCCCGGCTGCCCATCCTACGAGGGCACCGGAACCTACTCGCCCTCCTTCCTGCCCCTGCAGACCAGCGCCGCGCCCGTGGTCTCAACGACCGTGGCCGCCGTCACCACCAAGGCTCCGGAGACCACAGTCAGTGTCTCTGACAGTACTGCTGTCACCACGTCTACGGACTCCGCGGCCGTTGAGAGTCAAACTTCTGTCTCTGCCTCGGCTGTCGTTGTCATCACCTCGAGCGGCTTCAGCAATGCTACAATGACGACCCTGACCACGACCGCCGCCTCGGCATCTGGCAGCCAGTCTAGCCGTGTCACGCAGACTGCTGTATCTGCTGCGACCTCGGGAGCCACCAACAGCCCCAACGCCGCCGTTCCTACCGGTGCGTCTCGCCAGCTGTTCGGTCTCGTGGCTGGTGTTGCCATCGGCGCTGCCCTGCTGTAAGGCATTTGAGAGTACTGTATACATGGGACGTGGCACGAATAGACCTCCACAGTTTGATGCTGTGAAGCTGGTCATGACTTGGACTTTTAGGACTCAATATGATAATGCTCAATATAATTCACTGAACATACATCTCATGGCCACAGGTGTTAAACCTTTGTGGAAAATCGTGATTACTCGCTTATAAAAAGAATTTCTATACTTGTAATTACAAGTCCCTAACCTGTAATTCGGTTGCACTTAAGGAGTATGAGGCCAGGAGGCGGGCATCCGGCTCGTAGCATCTATTTTCAGAAACAAGGCGATTGGAGCCCGGAATTGTCCTTATTAATGACGCCGCTAGTTAACATCAATCTCCTCGCATAAACATGAGTGACAACTAGCTAGCCTACCAAGTTATTCTGTGCAGAAAGTAGGTTGAGACATGAGAAGTTATCTCTAAGCTTTGCGTATTCTCGTCACGATGCGCACGGATACCAAACACGCCCGAGAGGTTCCTCTGAGGAACTGAAAAACTCATTGTCTTTATAGACTTTGGGTATTCCGGTTGATGAAAGTCTCTGTTTAATAATGGCCGTGTGGTATGCGTAAAGTTGGGGAAGTAGATTGGATCGACACATCAGCTATCGTACCGGGTGGTGACCTCAGTAAATACTCTATTTCACCATTAAGACAATAACCTTGTTCATTGCTTTGCTGACTGGCATTTCTGGACATCCAACATGCTACTGCACCTCCGACATTTGAGAGTGGCCGATTAGGCTTACTATGCAAGGTCCAAGTTTCACCGGCTCAAATAAATGGAAAGTGCTGCATTTATTGCTAGAAGGTGCGATGAATAAAGAGAAAGTAACTCAGTTGCCATCCTTTTTGACTAAACTTGCTAATGCTTCCGATTTGCTTCAAACAGGCAAACGAATACCAAAACCTGTACACCTACAACCTACACCCATGTAAAGGGCAGCACGATTAAACCTGGATGAACTCCCACAATGTCGTGCCATGAGACCGCCTACACAGATTGATTCTGTCTTGAGCAACACAAAGCACCATCAGAGTATGTGACCAATATGGCGAAAGCAGCTGGTAACCTCCCTCGGGGTGTTGTCTCGGAGTCCACGACTCCCATTCTCTGAGCTCACAGGACCATGTGCCCACGTCGCTCTTGCCGCCGTGGCCGATGAACTTCCCTGCACTTGGGTTTTGAAACCCAAAATACCCTTGCTTTTCGACGCAAAGCCATACGGTACTGGGATCGCGAGTGGTTCTGAGGTCCAGGAGCACTGGCTGGTCGTCGACCAGCGTGATGGCTTTGCCGGACTGCCTTTCGATGATGTAAAAGGTTTTGCCGGGCCAAGGAACGTCGCTCAGGTGAGCATCTGTGGAAATGTCGCCTGCTATGGACGTTGTTATAGGGGTCAAGACCGGAGAGTCGATGGCTGAAGTGGAATCAGAGACTGCGTCGTCGTGCTTGGCCTGGGCGGCCATGATGTAGTGGCGAGGGCCTAGGCTTTGTGACGGTGATTTCTGAATTGAGAGGCCACAATTAAACGAGCCGATTACTAGGACCAGCAAAATCGAAATTGCCACACATATATTAATGGAATCGCCGTCAAAAGTGAATGGTTTGCGAGATGGAGCTTTGGTGTGAAGGACGACTAGCCGTAGAGCTTCTGATATGCATAATAGCAACACGTGCCCCACATGAAATGTTCCGCTGGTGGAGGGCCGGTTTTGCTTCTCGTTGGTTGGTTTGTCTCAATCCAAGTGCACCAATCGAGGTTAGCTCATTGAAGGCCTCCTACGTTTAGTTCAGGCTAGATGTCTTACATTGACGGACCCGTAGCACTTATTCCATTGCTGATATACTTTTCCGATTCTCATTCCCATCTGGACTCATCCGGGGTTGACTGCATGACGTCCGTTGTCTATTTCGTGACGCGTTTGTTAGTCGCCCTTCAGTGCCTTGACTGAGTGTGGGGTTCACAACCTCGGCAGCGATAATAGAGGCTAGGCGCCATCCAGTTTCCTACGAAAGAACACCCTTTCGTACCCGTCCTCCGTCTTCCTCTCCGTCTCCGTGAAACCCATCTTTGGATACAAGGTGAGATTTTCATACATTTTAACATTGGTATACAGTTGCAGAGAAGTGCAGAGGAAAGCTCGAGCGACGTCCTCGGCGCTCTTCATCAAAACTCGACCGTAGCCGCGGCCCTGGGCCTCCGGTGCAACGACCAGATTGTTGATGTGCAGTACGCTCGCTGAAGAATTATGGCGAAGAAGAATGGCACCGACCACTGCACCGCTCTCTTCATCGACAAGGATGTAGACCAGTTGCGTCTTGATGAGCTCGTGGTAGTCGGCCTTCATGGGCGCTGGTTCTTTGCCGATGCGGTCGATGTATTTAGAGTACGCAGCTCTGATTATGGATTGAATGTGCGGCACATGTTCTGTGCTGGCTCTTGCGAGAAAATAACCTTTACAAGAGGATGTTGGTTCGAAACTTTTGTCGGCCATGATGTACTATTGTCCGACCAAAGAATTCATGATTAGGCTGTAAACAATGTAGCTGACCAAACTACCTCAACTTGTAGGCGTAGGGCATGGTGAGTTGTTAATCATTTTCGGTGACTGGCTATAAAACGGGAGGTAGATTGCCTAATTGGGACAATGACGAGATAACGCCGGTGGTGGAGAGCTTCTGACCCCACTGGCCAATCGGAGGCTGGGACGCTCGATAAGATAACAAATCAGACGAAAAAGTCCGCCGTCGGAGAAATCATTCACGACACCCGTCGCATCCTGACCCGCCGTAGCCACCCAAGCATCACCAAAATCGCATCTTGAACCTGGTTTTTCACCATCCACGTCCATCACCACCAGCGAAGCCACACCGAACCGCCGCGTCTCAAAGCTCCCAGCTGTTCGCCAACTATCACACGACCTTCCGACCGCACACCAAAGCTTTCACAATGGATCACACTCGCGATCCCTGCCCCTGGGTCATCCTCAATGGTAAAGTCCCAGTCTGACCATCGTTGCCCCCTTGAAGCCAAATACTAACTATCCTGTAGACTTTGGCGGAGCTTTTGCTATGGGAGGTGAGTAATCTAGTCTCTTGCGACCGCGAACATCGGCATCCATCTCGAATCTCGAACACACCTCATTTTCGAACCTCGAGCTTCCGAATCGATCTATATCGCCACGACTCTTGCATTCTGACACATGTCTAGCCATCGGCGGAACGGTATGGCACGGTATCAAGGGTTACCGCAACTCGCCCTATGGTAATAGCTTTCCTTTGCGCGGTGTCAAAGTTGGTGATGATTAACGGTGCATCAGGTGAGAGAAGAATTGGTGCCATCTCAGCCATCAAGATGCGCGCTCCCGTACTCGGAGGAAACTTTGGTGGTAAGCATTCGATTCTAGGAACCCCTTGCTCTTGCGAACAATGCTAATAACAGGTGTCTCTAGTTTGGGGAGGTCTGTTCTCGTGAGTAATCCCTTTGTCGAAACTCGGAACGCCAAGCCATTACAAACTCCTGTGGCGATGTCTTAACCTCCTACTGACTGAATGGATGTCAAACAGAACATTCGACTGCTCCGTAAAAAGTATGGACCGATTTCTTCCGAAACCCAAGCCGTAGAGTCACCAGATACATGGGGAAATTGCAAGGCCTAGCCCTGGTGATGGTGCTTTCGCAACAAGGCGTGTCAGCTTGAGCTATTGCGCCAGAGCAAGGCTAGCAATTTCCCTTGTGATCTTATGACATGGCAAAATTGATGTCTTGGAAGCTAATATTCCGCGTACAGGTCTTCGCGGACATAAGGAGGATCCTTGGAACAGTATCGCCGCTGGATTTCTCACAGGAGGAGCGCTAGCCATCCGTGGAGGATACAAGGTAACCCTGCTTGTCCAAACGGTTTGTTCCCACATGTCACTAACCTTTTGGTTCGCCAGGCCGCCCGAAATGGTGCCATTGGTTGCGCGCTACTCCTTGCCGTCATCGAGGGTGTCGGTATTGGTTTCCAGAAGATGTTTGCGGGAAGCACAAAGCTGGAGGTCAGTTGAACCGCTCTCAGGCACATCATCGCCGACATTAAGCTGACAACCGCGTGATAGATGCCGGCACCTCCTCCTTCCGACGAGAGGGCCCTCGCATAAACGACCGACCCTCCGCCAAGCATCAATTTTACCGAAGAACACGACGGCCATCCAGCGACCGCCTGCCAACGAGAAGAATCACTCGGACCCCTCTCTACTCCTCAGGCTTAAAAGCCTTTTTTTTGTCCTTTGACGAGGGCTTGACATTTGTTTTCCACATCACAAAGGGCCGAAGCAATTCGATCCCGTTTTCGTAATCCATTCAATTATAAAATCGCGACATCTGGCAAGGAGAGGGTGGCGTTTCATGTAGAATAGGGCGAAAAGTTGCTGCCAGTCGCCGGAGACTGGCGGCTGGAGACAAGGGGGCCGACGGCCATCTTGATCTCGAGGGGGCTTTCAACCCGTAGACGAACGGCGTGCAGGAACGCTTCCGTCTAGGCAGCATGGTCAGGGGCAAAACCTGCATTTGTTCTCGACGCGGCTAGGGTTTGGATCCGAGGAGAGAGACAGTCTCTTCTCCCTTTTTTGACACGAGTACTGAAACTGTATGGGATAGAGGTGTTCATAATTGTACCATCAACTCGCTGATTTCTTCTCAACTCTGATTCTTTTCCGCGTCTTCAACAATCTCTCTGACTGACTCTAGAGCGTTTCTACCTGAAGTCCCAAATTTCCGAGCTTACCACTTCTCGCAGAACTCCCTCACATCAACCCCCTCGACATCGTCCCGATAAATCTTTGCATACGCCTTACCGTCGTCGTCGATCCACGCCCTGTACATCCCATTGCAGTTGAAATCCTGCAAAATCGCGGACCTCACGCCGACTACGGCCCCCTCCTCGTCCCTCGTGACAGCGATCTCGATCCCGATGATGCCGCCCTCGCCCTCGCCGGTAACCTTCCACCGCTTCCCGGCGCTGCTCTGCAACTCCCCGCCCGGACCCGAGACAAAGGACACGGCGTCGGCTCCCGAGAGCGGCTTCCACCGCGCCACGGAGCCCACAGTCCGACCCGCCGCGACGCGCATAAACGAGTCCCCGTTCCCGGTACCAGACGCAGCAATCGCCCTAGTAGTCTTCACACCCTTGCTCTTACCCACACCGAGCGCCGCGGCGCCGGCTACCGGTGCATAGGTCCTCAGCGAAGGAAGACAATCCGCCATCAAACCCTTCAAGCTCTCACTCAACACCAGAAACCCGCCGTCGCCGGCACCGCCGCCACCACCACGCCCAAACGCCCCAGTCAGGTCCCCGTCCTCCACCCACTCCTCGGCCCAAAACCCGGCCCCGACGACGGGTGTATCCCCGATCCGCCCCGTCAACTTATTCGTCAGCCCGCCCGTGCTCGTCGCGGCGCACACGACGCCCTCCTCGTCCAGCGCCACGGCGCCCACGGTGCCCTGCGGCAGGAACTCTGTCCGGCTGTACGTGCTCAACCCTTTACCGGCTTTTTCCCTCTCCAGGGCGCGCACGTGCTCGTCCCACCGCCTCTGCGTGAAGAAGTAGTCCGTGGAGACGAGCTCCAACCCGTAACGCTTGGCAAGGGTCTCGGCTGTGGCGCCGTGGAGGAGGGTGTGGCCTTGGGCCGAGGGGGCGTCGATGCCCGCGGTAGCAGCAGCTGCAGCAGCAGCAACATCAGCATTAGTAGCCAAGGAAGGGGAAAGAGAAGGATGGCTGCTCTCCGGGTTGCCCCCCAGATCCTCATCGCCGTGCTCGAGGATCGCTTTCGCGAGTAGGATGGGGTTGCGGACGTGTCGCAGCCCCGTAACGCCGACGCCGCGCTTCGCGAAGCCGCGGGAGACCATGACGGAGGCCTCGAGCTCGTTGATGCCGTCGCGGGTGAAGACTGCGCCGTGGCCGCTGTTGAAGAGGGGGTTGTTCTCCAGGAGGGTCACGGCGTGGGTTGCCGTCTCTAACGCGGAGGGGAGGTTGCTGGTGCTGGTGCCGGATGATGCGCCGGGTGTGTTTTGGTAGGCGTTAGTTTTGCTGACCTACGCGCGTGTGAGTAATTGAGTGTCTAGGTGAGAAATTTTGAGGACACAAGAGACGGTCTGAACCAAGGAAAGGTGAGGGGGGATGGTGAGTTTGGACTTACAATCGTCAACAAGGCCTGGCGGTACGCCTCATACTCTGGCGGCTGCAGGTTCGACGGCTTGATGTTGCCCGCGCCGCCGTGGATGATGAGGCGCGGCTTGACCTTGACGGCAGCTGGAGACTGACGCTTATATTCCATCTTCTCTTGCTCTTCTTTTCTCTACCGTCTCTTGAGTCCCAGACCGATGAATGCCTCACTGTAATCCTGATGTACTTCTCGTAGATTTATCGGTGTGTGATATTTTGTGATGCAATGAACTTGGTTCACTGAAGCGTCTCAAGTGAGATGGGAGGTGAGAGACGTTGTCGTTGATGATAAGATAAGCCCACCGACCCGGGCGGATTCGCCGAATCGGGAAGCTTAACGGCCGACGCTCGGCTTCAGCGTGCCGATGTTCGGATCACGTCAACAGAGGGGTCAGAAATGCCATCTTTCCACTATAAACGAGTCAGTCGCTGCACTTGAGATGCGAATGAATAGTTTCGCCAGATGTACTTTGGTCCCCAAGAGAAAATAGCACCTGTCTAGAAATGACTTGAATTTTTGGGGTATCCCTCTACTTTTCTTTTTATTTGTACAAAATCCGCGGACGTGCCGCTGCCCAGTGCCCCAAAACGCCCATTTAATCAATGCCAGAAATGTTGACCATTTACAAACGGGCAAACACGGATCCGATAATCTCCCGGCTCTTCAGAAGGTTCAGGACCCTCAACCTCTCATTGTCCAAATGAGCTGAATCCGACGACTGTCCGCAGGGCAAGTGGGCGGCCGGGGCGCCAAACTCCTTCTCGAGGAAACGGATCGCGGGAATCGAGCCGCCCTCACGAATGTACAGGGGCTTCTTGGGCTTCTGCGCCTTCGTTTGGTCCGTCTCAGCTGCGGGCCCGCCGGCGTTGTCACTTGCACCCGCAGAATCTCCTCCGCCTTCAAATACGGACGACCAGGACTGCATAATGGCCTCCTCGAGCGTCTGGAAGATGGCGTTGGTGGGATCGCCCAGCCACGGCTCGGCCTTGTTATCAATCTTGATGGTCAGCGAGTTCTTGGACTCAAGCTGCGCGAACTCGCTCTCGAGGTACGTGCCCAGCGAAGCAATGACGTCGTTGACCTCCTGGCCTGGCACCAGACGCAAGCTGATGTTAGCACTCGCGTGGCTGCTGACCAGGCTGCCATCTGGTCCTGATACTTTGTACCGGTGGATCGTCAAGTTGGGCTCCCTCCACCGGGCCATCAACGCGGCCTTGAGCTTGTCGGCGGGCCCCTTTTCCGGGTTTTGTCGCATGAGCGTCGATGCGATGTCGTCGTATCTCGTCTCCTCCTCGGCGGTGACAGGGAGGATGTCGTCGTAAAAGCCGGGGATGAGCACCTTGTTGCCGGGGCCCTTCAGCTTCGAGAGCGTAGATGTCAGATCGGACAGTGGCTCGTCGTTCATGTACGAGCCGTCTACACCGGAATGCTGATCGGGCAGATGTGAATCGACGCAAACGGTGGCGTGCAGAACGCCGCGCAAACCGTAGGTCAGGCAGGGTACCTCATCGTCGAGCCAGTAACTGTTGGCAAGCAGGATGTAGTCGACGTCGCCGATCAGGTCCTTGTTCTTCCGAACAATCTCCCTGAACCCGCGAGATGCCGATTCTTCCTCTCCCTCAATCAGGAAGACCACGTCGTTGGCAAGCTTCTTGGCTTGCAGCAAATCCGTCACGGCAAACAACGCAGCCATGATAGGGCCCTTGTTGTCACTGACACCTCTACCGTAGAGATATCCGTTGACACCCTTCATTTGGAACGGGTCCGTCCCCCACTTGCCCTTCTTAGTATCTGCCGGGACGACATCGTAGTGGCCGTAGAAGAGTATCTTTTTGCGCTTCTCGGCCGGCTCTAGAACACCATCAAATTTGGCGAGAACAACTGGGTTGTGGGGGCTGCTCTCCGTGCTCAGCATCTCGACGTGACCACCAAGCCGCTTGAACAAGGATCCGAGAAATGTTGCGCCTCTCCGGCAGTCCTCTGCGAATTCTGGACGTGATGATACTGTGCGGTAGGACACAAACTCTCCAAGCGTCTTAATCATAACGTCGTTGGCTTCCTCCACCTCATTTTGTTGATCCTCATAAGATGAGCAGTCAATGCGCCAGATGGCAACATCGTCGTCGTTGGCGCCGGTGATGTAGTACTGTCTGTTGTTGTATGTTGTCACCGCTGATGAAAGAACCTTGCCCTCGTGAGCCTTCCAGCGCGCTACGCACTGGTACTTTTGGCTAATATTCGCAACCTGCTTGTCCTGGTACTTGCCGTAGTGGACAGTAGTGTGTTTCTATAGGTTGTTAGCAAGGAACGAAGGGCGAAGCACAGATAACTTACACTTGCAGAACCCGAGCGAGAAGCGCTCAGGAGGTAGCCCCAGCCCATCTGTAGTGTCATCACATCACCCCTGTGACCCTTGATCACTCGCAACTTCGACTTGGTGTCCAGGTCCCACAGCTCGATGACTCCCTGCAGCTTTCCAGCATACAGGAATGAACCGTCAATCGCAAGGGACATGACTGATTCCGCATCGTCGGCCCCCAGTGACATTAGCTCCTGAAGGCCGGGTTCGCGGTCGTTTTTCGCAGCCTGATCATCTCCCTCAGCGCCAAGCTTCCACAACTTGATGGTACCGTCTCCGCCGCCTGAGATGAGCACCTCTTCGTCAGGTTCCACAAGCACAGTCGGACCCTTGGCCATGAGCATCGAGTAGACGTAGCCGTAGTGGGCAAACATCTGCAGAGCCCCTGGATGAATTTCCACCACCTTTTCAGACCGCGGGATCAAGGTCCACCTCTCGTCGTTACGGCGCGGCGTCGTCGTTCCTCCAACAGCTCGCGAGTCGAAGAACCTATGATTCCGACGGTCGGGATGTTGTGAAGAGTCGTGGGTGGTACGGTTATTCGGATCGGTCAGGCTGACCCATTGTATCGATGTGTTCTGCGCGCCGACGTACACCGTCTCATGCTGAGCACTGTAGGCCACGGAGAAAATGTCGCCGACATCGTAGGTGCTGTAAATCTCGTAGAGCCGCTTCATCGTCTTGGGGCACCAGACGTTAATGAGAGGGTCTCCGGCGCTCGAAAACAGCATGGAGCCGTCGGGCGTCAGGAACAGGCTCAGCACGCTGCGCTTGTGGGCCTGGACGATGCGTTCCTGGTGGAAAGTGGCCAGGGACCACACGACAATCTCTCCATCTTGGGTACCGGCGTATATGCGTTCGCTCTCGGCGCTGACAGCGAGAGCGAGAACGGAGCTGTCGTGCTTGAGGTTGTGAAGGAGTTCGGGGGCGACCTGGGAGTAGTCGTCTGTGTCGCTGAGGTTCGTGGATAGGTCGGAAGCCGCGATGGCGGACGGCATTGTGTCTTCTGTCGCGCAGAAAGGGAGGGGGAGCTTGTCAGCTGTGGTGCTTGAGGGAAGAATGCAACGACCGACCCAACGGAAAGAAAGGAGTGAGAGCCGATCGAGGTGAAGGAGAGGTGAAGGAGAAGAAGAGTGGCGTGTCGAGACAGGAAGCAGCAGCGTAGGGTTGGCGGTGACGGTGACGCATTTCCCATGATTCGGCTGCCAACTCGCAACGAAAATGGCGAATGACGAAATGCGCTAAAGGGCAGTCGCTCCGCCCACCTCCCCAGCGTGGATCCCCCCGTACGGGACTTGGAGGGACGTCTCCAGAGTTCCGGGCTGAGTGGATCGCCCAGTCCCTAGGTGCAGTTCCTGGCAGACCAAGTGCTCTAGCTCCCGTAGCCACAAGGTCCACTGCTGTATTCTCAGGGGCACTAGGGGAACCAATGTGGCACGAATTGTCACTTTGAAGCATACGTCTCGTGACACTTTGTCTTTTTCGTCTGCTTCGACTTTCCCAGACACTTGTCCCTTGCTTGAACTCTCTCTCGAATCCAACAAGCCGATGACTCTAGGAGCGAAAAGGGAAACTCACCATCTTCGTACTCCTCGGAAGATTCGGAGCCAACCGATAGCTCAACCAGGTCCTGGTGTATCTTGCGGCACCCCTCGCAGTCTTCCTCGCCCGGGGCGTGGTGGTCCCCCGACTTGTATACCACAGCCATCTCCTCGAGATTTTGTGGTTTTGGCCGCACTTCCGACTCGAGGTCCGCTATGGTAGGTATACGTGTTCGTAGATAGGCTGAATCCGCTCGATCCTGGGGTATTCGCCCAGCCAGGTGGGGAGTTTTCTCTATTTGTACGGACGTCCTGATGGCTTTGACTCCCTCACCGCTTCATGACGCAACATTGGAGGGGATGGTATCATGCGCTCGTGATAAAAGGGAATGCGGAACTTTGGTATGATAAGGTATGATTCAGTTGAGAAACGAAATTAAGAAAACAGGCGGCCGGGAGTGAGCTTAAGGAACTGTCCGCAGGGCCGAGATCGGTTGCGTGATTTCACATTTTACAACTCGTACAGGCGTCTACCGCTTCGCATTGAGCTTCTCTGCGAGCGCCTAGCCAGTCAAGCACCGCCTGGATCTCTACGGACGTGGAGTCTTTCCGCTCGGCATACACCAAAGCCATCCTTCTCAGCTAGTGACACCCAGCTGAGACAGCCCGGGATGCTCGCCGACCTCCCTTTGATGGGCGTGCTGTGCCTGTGAGATATGGAGGAGGGCCTCAACAGCGGGCAGCGGCGCAGCTCACCGCAAGATGGTATCCGGCTGCCAGCATAGCTGCGCCAAAACCCCAATCCACATCCAGGGTGCGCGTGGTGATCTTCCGAAGCCGCGCCCAGTATCTGTCCTATTGGAGGGGACTACGCTCCGGGCGACGAAAACGGAGCACCGGTGAATGGCCAGTCTGTTCAACAAGGGGACACAGACCGGCAAGGGTGTTATCGAAGCTCAAGCGGCTGCCCGTTGGACCACCTGATAGGCCTCTGTTCTCACCCATCCACCCTGCAGATCCGTCGGGTAGGAGTCTATCCGTACCATAAGCCGCGTATTATTGTCCCGGTGAATCAGACAGCACAATGGTTGCGGCTGCGGGATAAACCATTGTGAATACAGCTTCAGTGTTGAGGTGCCCTGCTGTACGACTAATTAAGGGGTGGAGCAATAGCTGAATATGGGGCTTAAACTTTCGCCTTACTCCCTGAGCCTTTCTTCATTGATCACCCATCCACGGAATGCAAGTGGAGCTGAGGAGATGGGTTTTGCGAGATCGCTATTATATTCCTAGCGGACTTGAAAAAGCAGCGGCGCAGGCTTGTGCCGCGAGAATGGCTCAAAAGGCGCCAAACAAGACTGAACGAACAACACTGAACAGGTACCTTACCTTTCAAAAGAAGGTATGTGTAGCGTGAACCGCCAGTTGGAAGCCCACCACTGCAGTAGCCAATGAAAGTGCTATGTAATCACTGTCATCCGCCCCCATGCTGACCGGTAGTGGGATGCACACATCTCACCCACCAACTTCTTCCGGCTCGACAGGAGATAAAGTAACTGCAGTCAAGTATTTCCCGGAATTCCGTCCTCACTCTGCAGAAAGTCATCATCATCTTGAATTGGACACCTTGAGGCTCTAGTAGTCGTCTCAAGACGCTCTAATTGCCGCCATGAGCACCACGCCACCCAATAATAACAGAGTCCTTCGACCTCTGACAAGGCCACCGACGATGGACGAAAAAAGCGTCTTCCTTGCTGGCACAACAAGCAAGAGAGACTGGCGCAAGGACCTCAGCGGCTCACTGTCTCATCTGCCGGTAATCATATTCGACCCCTTCCGGCCGGACTGGGACAGCACGTGGAAGGAGGATATCGCCGATGAGAGATTCAGGAGTCAGACCGAGTGGGAGCTGGAGATGCAGGAGAGGGCAGACATCATCGTGGTGTACTTTGAACCGGATACAGAAGGCCACATTAGCTTACTCGAATTGGGGTTGTGTGCTCGGTCGGGGAAGGTCATCGTCGCTTGTCCTGACGGGTACAAGAAGAGAGGCAACGTCCAGGTCGTCTGTTCGAAATACGGGATTCCGCTGGTGGAGAGTTACGAAGCGTTGTATGTGAAGCTGGTACAGAGATTGAAGGAAATTTGAGTCGGGGCTTGATGAGAATGATTATTAGGTCCTCATACCTGTCGAAACCTCTGCGTCCCACTGGGTGTGTTGCTTGAGTCGGATCCGACGCTGGGAAAGGATCGACCGTTCATGTGCCAGATAAACACTGTGTACGGAGTAAGGTAGAGACACAAATCCACCACGCCTCACCGGGCTTTCTCCGATGCGGCGGGCCGAGAGTATTTCCTTCCAGTGGCTTCCTCTCCAGGGCGGGCAGTCTCGATTCGCGCTTGATAACCCCACTTGCCCAATCCGACAGGGCATGGTTCGCAGGCCCCGTCCAAACACCAGAGCTTCGAGGCAACGTCTCAAACCAACCTCGTGCATCTGCTCCAATAATATTGGCTTCCCTTGTTGTGGCTTGTTGTCGAACAATCTGAGTTACTTATTTTTTGTTCACTTTAATTGTTAGAAAATACCTCCAAAAATGGACGACCAATTCGGAGGCCGCACAGACGACGACCTCTTCTTTGACGATTTTGAGCCCGTAAGCAATCCGCAGGCCGTCGAGACCGTCGAAACCGTCGTTGCCACTGCTCCCCCTCCCGCCGCCGTCGCGACGCCGCCTGTTGAGCCTCAGAAACCCGCCACCGTCGCGCCGAAGCCCGCAGCGCAGCAGCAGCATCAAGCTCCTCCTGCGCCAAAGCCAGCCCCGGCCAAGAAGCCGCCCACGGCGCCGAGGGGTGGTCTCGCAAACTCCAGATTCGCCGACCCGAAGCCAGCCCCTGCTGCCCCGCGCGCCCCTCGCCAGGCTGCCCCCGCCGCCGTCTCGACTCCCCCTCCGACCGCGAGCACGCCCACACCTCAGCCCTCGACCGTTCCGGCGGCGCAAAACTCACCAGCCCCGGCCGCTGCGCCGACTGCTCCCGCTCCTCCTCCTGCTGCTGCTCCTACTCCTGCCGCCGCAACCCCAAGCGACTCTGCCTCGCCCAATGCAACAACGAAGAGCAACTCCCCCGCGCCGCCGCCCTCGGCACCTCATGCGCCTCGCGAGAAACATGCCGCCCCCGGCGCAAACACAGCCCTCAACGCCGAAGCCCGCCTCGGCTCGGGCGCGAACCCGCGCACGAAGCTGAGCGAGGCGGAGCTAGCCGCCAAAATGAAGCAGATGCGCATCCTCAACGCCGAGAAGACGCGCAAATTCGAGCAGGCGGAGCAGGACGAGCGCAGCCACGCCGAGGCGTACGCGCGCGGCATGGAGGAGGCGCGACAGCGGAAGAAGCTCGACGAGGAGAGGCGGCGGCGCGGGGAAGAGGAGCGCAGGCGCATGGACGACGAGCGTGCGCGGAACCGGGAGAGGAAGCTCAAGGCTATGAGTATCAAGGAGGGCGGGTGGGATGAGGGGAAGGAGGCGCTTGCGGCGGAAGAGGAAAGGAGGGGGTTCCGCGGGGCGAATGGTGGGATTCGGGGGACGAGGTCTGGTGCTGGGCTCGCGGGCAGTAGGTTTGCTTCGCGCGAGGATGATGCGCAGCAAGGCGATCGATACGCTGGTGGTGGTAGTGAGGAGCGTAGAGGTGGTCGGGGCCGCGGAAGGGGTGGTCGAGGGCAAGGCCGGGGTGGGCGCGGCGGTCGCGGTGGATACGGCAACGACCATGAACGAGGTGATTCGAATGGCGCTCGCGAGGCCAAGACACACGCCACCCAACCCCCCGCGCCGGCGCCTGTCATCAGCACCGAAGAGTTCCCTGCCTTGCCCGGTAAGGCTACGAGCGGCGACATTTCGCCTCCTGTCCTGTCGCCTCTCGGGAGATGGGATGACGAGATGGAGGCATTCGACGAGAAGCTCAAGAGCGCCGCCGCGCAGTCGTCTTCGTGAGAAGCCTAACTGAGCTGTTTCATAGCCAGGGGTTTGCGATGAGAAAGAAGCATAACGAATTGGATCACAAAACAATAGCGACGACGCTTTTTTGAATACGCCACGAAGGAAGATGAAGAGGAATTATTGGAGTACATTTTAGTTCGCCTCTAAGCATGGTTCCTCCTTAAGCGGGCATTCAGGAGTCGCAAGTCTCAAGTATACCAGGCAATGTTACGAGCGTAAATACATGATACCGTCCGGGAATACCAATGTCGCCATCTGTGTGCCTTTGACATTGATCCGTCGCGCCGCCGTGAGCGTGCTACTGGCCGTATTGGCACGGTCCATGCATCGGTGGCGATGATGAGGCCTAAAAGACTTAGTATGAAGCAAATGAACCTACGTTGGTGTCGTCACCCACGTTTTACATGCTGTAAATATCATGCTAAGCCGTTTGTTTGAGTTATACAAACTCGAGTCGTGGATCGGAGAGTGTTGGTGGTCGGTCTCGACAACGCTCAGTCATAATCCAAGACCCCGGGGTGGTTTGCTGGTTTTTTCCGAGATCCAAGATGGAGCTTCGATATGATCTCTGAGACCGGGACGTCGCCCACGGATGTCCCAGTCTCTCATTAGTTGGATTGCGATGCTCTTCGCTCTCCGGATGGGCCTACCATCCACCACCACCGCCGCCGCGGTATCCCCTACCGCCACGTCCACGGTATCCGCCACCGCTCCTGGGACCTCTGGGGCCGCCCGGTCCCATGTTGTCGTCGTCCATCGGGGCCCGCTGGCGGTGGCGCATCTCCTTCGGGAACGCGTCAAAGGTCTTGCGCATCTGGGCGTAGCCGAGATGCATCTTTCCGTAAAAGTGGTCCGCTAGACGACGGTCGTTGTCGAGCCTGCTGAGGTAGGCGCCGCACACATCGCAGACTTGCAGCTTCTGGTGGCCGGACGGGCCCGAGGTGTCTGACAGGGCCTTGAGTTCCTTCTCGCGGTCCAGTTTTGTTTGCTGCGCTTGGCGTACTCGGTAGAACTCGTCGATCGCGCGGGATACTTCGGCCATTTCGCCGAGAATCTCTACTTCGAGGGTGCCGTTGTGGATTGTGGACGACAGCTCGGCAATGCTTTTCAACTGTCGTTTGGTTAGCTAAGGAGTTCCAGGATTGCGGGGGGAAAGTGCCGGGGCCGTACCAGAGCATTCGTTTGACGGATCTCGTCGGGTGTCTTCTCGAGCCTGCGCTGTGCCGAGTCTATCCTCCGATTGCAATCGTCGATGTACTTTTGGAGGTCGCGCATGTAGTCGTACTCGAAGCCGTACTTTTGCTTTTCCTTATCTGACAGTCCCTCGTACTCGGCCTTGAGTGCTTCAGAGTGTTGCTTTGGGCAGGGTCCCAGGTCTTGCTTAGTGTTCGTAAATAGGTCGTGAGGGCATGTGCCGACGAGGAATGATCTGCAGACTTTGGGGTCTGTCATGGAGAGCGAGGCCGCCCGGGTGCTAGCGGAGCCGCCCATGAGCTGCTCCAGCAGCTTTCTCTGTTCTGCGGCCATTGTATGTGATGCTCAGTGGTAACTGTTGTGACCTGTGTGTTGTATCGTCTATCGCTTTTGGCGCAATGTTTCGTGGGAAAGTCAATTGGGTATCTCGGACAGTAAGGAAATTCGCGACGTTCTAGTGAAATAAAGCGTGTCGCGCGGGATGACCCATGGGCAGAATGTGGAGAGCTGCAAAGGGTAGGTACTTTCCCCGAGTGTGGTTACATAATAGCTATTTCTGCCGAGTCATACCGCCTCGGCATCCCTCCAAGCAACCACCTACACGACCTCGCCTCCAGCAGCATTGCACGCGCCGCCGTGCAGGGGAGAGAACGCAGCAGACGCGAATCTCATTCTTTTGCGCTGCGACACTCTCTCCAAGATGCGCCAATTTCTGGCGGCCCTTTTTTTTTCTTGCCTGGCCTCCTTCGGCCTGGCTGCGGATTACCATGAGCAGTTGAACCTCCGCCCGCTACCCCTGTCCGCCCTCCTCGCGAGCTTCAACTTTCGATCCAATACATCGTTGTCCGACTTCGACTTACAGAACTTTCGATACTTCCCCCGGTCACTGGGCCAAATTCTTCAATATGCCGGAACGAGAGAGTTGCATCTGAGGTTCAGTTTGGGAAGATGGGATGCTGAGAGCTGGGGGAGTCGGCCGTGGGATGGTCAGCGCGAGGGCGGGACGGGCGTGGAGCTGTGGGCATGGCTTGAGGCCGAGACGCACGAGGAGTATGACCTTCTGCACGCAACAAGGACGTACCCATACTAATCAACACACGCAGGGCCGACCAGAAGTGGTTGACCCTCACCAATGCGCTCTCAGGACTCTTTTGCGCATCGCTCAACTTCGTCGACGGAACCCGAACCACCAGACCGGTCATGTCATTCCAACCTGAGGGCGACCATCCCGAAGCATCCATCCCGAATATGCAGCTCCTTCACGGTGTTCTGGCAAAGGAGGTGGTGTGCACAGAGAACTTGACACCCTTTTTGAAGCTACTCCCCTGCAAAGGAAAGGCGGGCATCTCGAGTCTGCTGGACGGCCACAAGCTCTTCGATTCCTCTTTCCAAAGCATGGCCATTGACATCAAGCCTGTCTGCCCCGAGGGCCAGGACTGCATTCTGCAAATCGAGCAGACTATCGACATGGTCCTCGACATTGACCGGTCCAAGCGACCAAGGGACAATCCGATTCCTCGTCCACCTCCTGGACACGAACTGAAGTGCGACACCTCGAAGCCCTACCATTCCGACGAAATATGCTACCCCACCGGTCTCACAACTGGCCAAGAGTGGACTCTGTCCCAGATTTTTGGAAAATCGATCAAAGGCACGTGCCCTCTGACAGATGAGGACGTACCGCCGGTTTGCATTGAGGTTCCTCATTCGAGAGGCGTCTTTACGTCTGGTGGAGCTACAGAGATCCTGAACCCGAACGGTGTATCGCGGTGCTTCAAGATCGGTGCGGAGTCAGAGCTGGAGATTGTTCTCCCCCTGGAAGATAAGGAAGGACAAGATCCAATCAAGGAATTGGTGGAACCGCCCACGCCTCTCATCTACGCTGAGCGCAGCTTTACTGGACACGGCCAGGAGCATGGTGGCATGCAGGCAATCCTTACGAATCCGAGCAAAGACACAGAGGTTGAGTTCATCTACATGGAATCACTTCCCTGGTTCATGCGGGTTTACCTACACACTCTCAACGCGCGTATTGAGGGATCCTCAGGTTCGCAACCATCAATCGTTGAGGACATTTACTACCGCCCCGCCGTCGACCGTGCCAGGGGCACACAGCTGGAGCTGCGGATGCGTATCCCTCCTGCTTCCACAGTATTCCTCACCTACGACTTTGAAAAGTCGATTCTTCGATACACTGAATACCCTCCTGACGCGAACCGCGGCTTCGACATTGCCGCGGCAGTCATCACCACTCTCAGCCCCCGTACGCAAAGTACACGCACCACTACGCTGCTGTTAAATCTGCCCACACCAGACTTCAGCATGCCTTACAATGTCATCATCTTCACCTCGACGGCGATCGCGCTCGCTTTCGGTGGCATGTATAATATCCTAGTTCGGAGATTGGTTGGCGCCGATGAAGGCCCCAGTCCAGTGCTCAAGGCAAAAATAGCCGGTCTCTTGGCAAAGCTGAAGGGGATTCGGTCAGCCAAGAAATAGAGAGTGATGTTTGTGTTTCCCGTTCAGATATTCGGCTTCATTCGCTTTCCCGTAAACTCGTTCAAGGGGCCGCGTGTCGAGCATTGATTGCTTTCCGAGCTCGCCGTCCGTTTGTCTTTCCATCCGTCCCGACTTTGTCTGCCACAAGGTTTGTCATACGACATTGGCCATGAATCAGAAGCTGTGGAACAGCACTTTCCCGTCGTGGAACATAAGCTCTGTTGTCTCCATCGTCTATCACGTTCTACTACTACAAAGGAGCCGGAACATGAAAAGGCGATGCGGCAACATATTGCCCTCGACCGATACTTTGTTGTCCTGCCCATACCCTGTTGATTATACCCGTTGGCACTGCGACTCCAGAGATGCCCAAAGATGCCCAAAGATGCCCAAATCTCTCGCCGTCTTCGGCCCAACCAACAAACTCATCGATCTCGCCATTTTACCCGTCCGTCCGTGCTGATGTCCGGCCAAACCATCACGGTCAGATTTATTGCCGTTTACTACCGTGCGTTTCTATTGAGCATAGCTGCGTTGTCTAGAGTCTGTCAATACCACTCGTCATCGCCTGTTCCACATGGATGCCGTGAACACGGCAGAGCATGCGCGTAGCCAAGAGCTGCCAACCTATCCGATTCTGCACGGCGAAAAAACTACGAAAGAGCAACGTCTGCTTCCTATGCCTTATGAGTCATGATTTAACATCATCCTACGCGCGTTGATGAACCACTGATAATTGAGTCCAGTGTGGGAATGTAGCCTAGATCCCAAGCTCTTCAAACATCCTATTGCCATTTCAAGATATTCAAGCTGCAGCGCCAGCTCAGAGAAGCAAGGCATGTGTTGACGCAGGCAATGCGCTCATCATCGCGCCCGCCACCCCGGGGGAAAGAAATGTCTGAAGATCTGTTTGCCGCATTAACGGGTACTCTTGTTTGTTTTCAATATGGATCTTGAACGAGGTGAGGATGCAGGCTTCCCTCACACCCGGCATCTCACATGGGTCTCCTGGGCCAACCTACTTTTCCACTCTCGTCAGCAAGAATCTTATAATACATATGATACGAATATGACCTAATTTTCTCCTGTGTTCTTTGATCCTTCTTTGCCAGACAGCCTTGAGAGCCAGATTCTGTTTCTAAGCCCTCTATAATGCGTCTGACAACAGCAGCCGCGATCTTGTCCTTTGTCGGCGCGAGTCTGGCTCGCTTTGGACACCAGGAGCAGACCCCAGGCGAAATCCCATCATCCAGGACGAGACGCTTCATCGTGGAGCTTGCGAAAGTGAGATATTACGACCATGGTAGTTTTGGGACGTTACTGACAATGTCAATCGGCGCAGGACTCGGACTTGAAGAAGCTCAAGTCGGAGCTATCCGATTTCGCCGGTGCAACAGTGTATAAGACCTTCCGCAGCGATGTCTTCACGGGAGTCAGTGTCGAATTGACGGGTGACAACGAGGAGGACCTGCGTCTTCTTCAGGGAGCGAGCAACGTTTGGCCATCGCGCAGAGTCCAGAGGGCCGTTGTCGAGAGCGGTCGGGCATTCAGTGGTGATGTCTCGGCGGGCAACTATAATATCCACGGCATCACTGGTGTGCAGAAGCTTCATGAGGAAGGCATCCTAGGCAAGGGTGCCAAGGTTGCTGTTGTTGACGCCGGTGTTGACTATACTCACCCTGCTGTGAGTTCTATCTACCTCCTTGAGAGAGGGACACCATCTAACAACTCAGCTTGGTGGTGGGTTTGGCGAGGGGTTCAAAGTCATGGGCGGCTATGATCTCGTCGGTGACTCAGGTGAGAGAAGGATAGCCAACACCTCCCCAAACAACAAGAGCTGACGAACTTGATAAGCGTGGCCCACTGAAGGATATGATAAAAGGCCCGACAACGACCCGTATGAAGAAGATGCCCTCGGCGGACACGGCACGCATGTCACTGGTATCGTCGTTGGAAAGTCAGATAGGTCAGTCTTCGCTTCTGAGATTTGTAGCATGAGACTGACATAATCACAGCTGGCAAGGAGTTGCGCCTGAAGCCAACATTTTGTCGTACAAGGTCTTTGCCGGAAGTGTAAGTATCAACCTCCCAAGATGATATCCATGCTGACACTGTAAACATAGAATGGCGACACAGATGAAGAGACCCTCATTGAGGCATTTCTAATGGCTCATAAAGATGGTGTAAGTTCGCTCCTATATGTTACTCGGCCATTCACTGAACCGACCGCGCCTTAGGCTGACATCATCACCTGTTCCATCGGAGGTCGCGGGGGGTTCTCATCCAACGCCTGGGCCGAGATTGCATCCCGTCTCGTGGACCAGGGGCTCGTCGTCACGATCTCCGCGGGTAATACCGGCGAAGGCGGTGCTTTCCTCGGGGACAACGGTCAGTCTGGGCGAAGCGTACTCTCTGTGGCATCCACGGAGCCACCGTATGTCCCTGGGATGCCGTTCGAGGTGACGTTCGATTACGGGAACGGGGAAGTGAAAAAGTCGACATATGGGTTCTTTTTTGGCGGCCTCACTCACAGCTTCCCACTGAACTCGACCGGTCTGCCAATCACCGCGCTCTCGTATGACCCCTACAACACCACAATAGGATGCCGCTTCCTGGGACCAGAGACGCGAAACCTGTCTGGCGCTCTTGTACTGGCTCCTCGCGGTGGCTGCGACGGGCCGAATAAGCGCTACGTTCTCCACGCTGCCGGAGCCGAGTACGTGCTGCTCTTCAACGACAAAAGCCTCTTCCCGATGCCCAGCAGCTACGATACCCTCCGCGTCGAGGGTGTGACCGAGAACGCCGTCGGCGTCGAAATCCTCTCCGCGCTTGCGAAGGGCGCCAAGCTCACGGCCAGATTCTTCAACGAGTCCAACTCGAACCTGATAAATCTGAAGAATCCCGCCGTTGTCAGCTCCTTCTTCACATCCATGGGCGGACTATACGATCTCCAAATCAAGCCGGACGTGGCGGCACCCGGGAGCAATATCTTCTCCACCATACCGCACGGTAAGTACGCCCTAAAGTCGGGCACGTCCATGGCCACGCCGTACGTTGCAGGCATTGCGGCACTCTTCATCTCAAAGTATGGCGGCAGGAATACGCATGGTCCCGGCTTTGGGAGGAGGCTCTCTGCTCGGATCCTGTCTAGCTGCGACTCGCTTCCGTGGAACAATGGCCTCAATATGACGGACTACGACGCCAGAGCCCCCGTCTTCCAGATTGGGAATGGCTTGGTTAATGCTACCAAGATCATGGACTACCGGACGGAGCTTTCGTTTGCCAAGTTTGCGCTCAACGATACTACGCACTTTCGCGCTTCGCAGTCTGTCATGATCACTAACAACTGCACTGGCCCGGTCACGTATAGGTTCTGCGTTGAGGCTGCAGGGACGTATGAGGTTCTCGATGACAAGGCGGAGCCGTCGATCAAAATGGGTCCCCAGTATCGAGGACTCGTACCATTGACTACGCAGATGGCACCTAACGTGACGTTTCCTGGAGATTTTACAGTCGGTCCGGGTGAGACCAGAGAGGCAATGTAAGACCCCACCTCATCGCATTATTTACGAACCCTTTCAAATTAAGCCCTTGCTCCAGATTCGCCTTTGAACCTCCCAAAGGCGGAAACCAGACTGCTATGCCCTTATACAGCGGCAAGATCCTCGTCTACGGCTCTAATGGCGAGCAGCTCTCGGTCCCCTACATGGGCGTAGCCTCCGACCTGCAAAACGGATTTAGGAAAATGTTTGTCGAAAAATATCCATACGTCAACTCGGGACGGGGTGAAACTCCCATCATGTACAAAACCAAGTGAGATTCAGGTGAAATGCCCTGCTCTTACAGCACGTGCGCTTACATGCCTCTCCCCAGCTTCACGTTCGACCTTTCTTTGAAGGCGCAGGACTTTCCCAAACTCTACATGAACTTCCGATGGGGTGCTTCCGTCCTGCGCTGGGACATTTTCGGGAGAGGGTGGGAGGAGAAGAGCTGGGGGACGTACCCGCCCGTTCCTGGGAAGGATGGATTCGTCGGCCATGCTGCGACCTGGGTATATTCCTCTCAACCGACGCTACCTGACATGCCACCTTGCGGTATCACTGTTAGTACATGTAATCGCGCTGACTTGAAAATAGGATAATGAGAAGCATGCCTCCGTCTTTGATCCGGACAATGACAACGAATTGGACCTCGTCAGAGGTCCTCTGGGAGAACTTTCGAGGGACGATTACAACTACGCGCCCTGGCGGGCGTGGTGGCTTGGACGTTTCTCTGATGGATCAAAGATTAAGCCTGGAAACTACACGTGAGTCTCTCGTTATGCCTGTGCTTTTTCCGCTCGCAGATTTAACGGGTGATCACTAGCATGCGTGTTGCTGCGCTGACTCCGTTTGGAGATCCGACCAAAAGCGACCATTGGGACGTTTGGAGGCATGATTTCGAGGTTGAAGCCAACCTTACGCTATCTGATGGATGAGCCTCGTGTTCTAGTTGGAATCCTGGGGGTTGCTTATGGAGTCTGGAAAGTTGTGTACTCAAGTTGGTAGTGTTTGTGTTCAGCCAGCATGGAGGAGCCGACCCCCAGCCCAAGGGATGCATTTGTTGCACTTGGTTTTGTTTTCCTTCTGCATACATAGGCATCACTCATCAATCCGGTTGAAAGAATACATCGAAGAACGGAGGTATTTTCTGGCGCACCCTCAGAGTTTCATGACATTTCCTTGTGCAACATTCGAGGTGCGCTGGCAAAGTTGCGATACTAGATCTACACGATTCCCATTTTCGACGCTCTACTTCATCCCAAGTATCCGTGAGATCAAATCAGCATGTTCCTTCCGAGAATTTCCTCCAGTGACCTTATACAGTAGCAAAGAGCAGATGAAATCACCGTCGTGACAAGTAGCTCAACAATCATACCGCCTCGCCGTGGTCCCTGTCGGGCGCATCACGGATCCAGCGAATGGGAGCAGTGCGATGTGCCCAATCGAGCCACTGTCTGCCAAGCCAGAAAGCTCGCTTTGCATAAGGCCATCCAATTATTCCCCACCACACCGCGCCGGTCTGGTGAATGACAGAGACAGGCATTTGCGAAAGTTATCTAGCAGCATCAGACAGCAAATGCACAGTGACACCGGGTCATCCGAATTCGTGCCGTGCGGTGGGTCGAGATACGATTTGTCCTACTTAGTGTCGTATGCCGCCTCACCTCTCAACGCACTATCATTGGATGAACACATCCACTAATCCCCGATAGTCTAGTGGTGAGGATATCTGCTTGTCATTGAAGTCCAACGATTCGCAGGGGACCGGGGTTCAATTCCCCGTCGAGGAGGTTTTTTTTCCATTTGCAGCTTTTTTTTTCACAATGATTGTTACTTTCTTATGCTTATGTGAATGCTGTATCGCTTGGGCTGATTTCTGTGTGAAATGGTGTATGTTGGTTGGTGTCTCTGTATGCCTTTGGCGCAAGGTGAGTCGCCAAGGCGGGCAAGTAGGCGCGACCCACCTCCCGGCAACCTCGCAACTTCCTCCCCGGACATCCACACATCATCTTCTTCCATTTGACACAAGCAATTGCGACCACGATGGATAGCAAGGCCTGGACAGAATATCGGATCTGTGGAGATGTGCTGCCAGAGTGGGGCACTCTGAGCGCTCGTAAGGTACTGTGACAGAATGCTGTAATGATCGGACATCAAAGTTGACAACCAAATTTGGGAGGACCGTTGTTCATTTCCCCGCCGAAACCTTTCTTTGGCCAGAGTTGCACTCGTGGATAACATTTTCCCTTGGATCCATCGTGGAAATTTTTTGTTCTAGAATCGACCTGTATGACTTTAGCATAAATCAGATTGGGGATAGGAGGATGAGTGTCTAGGAAGGCAAGAGTTGGATTCCGTGGAATTCTAGAAGAGGCATCACCCACTAGTCGGTGAAACTATTCAGCTCACGATGCTGATGTCAGGTCTGCATTGATGACAACTCTGTGTCTGTTCCCTGGTCCGGATGGTTCCCCACCTGGTCCGAGTCCAAGTGGACAGTTATGTGTTTTCACCGTTCACGCGAAAGTCTATGTCAATGAAGTTTTATTCCCCTTCTTCGGACAGCAGCCCTAATCATCCCCATCGTCTTTTCTAAATAGTATTCCACTATGATCAAGCTTTCAGTAAGGGCGAAGAAAGACAATACTGTTTCATGGTCGTCGACGAGATCGAATTAAGCTGGACGTTCAATACGACCGAGATAGACATTTTAGGAACAAATACATAAAGACCTCAAAAGAATGCCGCCTATGTAAAGAAGACCACCACGAGAAAGATTCTGCGACCGGCCAAGAATTACAGGCCCACGCACTGTAATAAGTCAAAGATGAAGCCTCGCCTACATATGAACCCCACGTCCTCGCTCTCGCTGTGACCTAGATCGGCGCCAGAGACCTGTTTCCTGTATCTACGGCAAGAACGGGGACAAGTCGCCGCCCAATAGCCGCACCAGACGATAGCATAGATTGCTAGGTAATAGCATATATGAGAAGTGGTGGGGTCTATAGCCTCTGTTAGAGATCTCCATAACCCTAGTCATTATTTACCTAGAAATCAAGTAGGGAAAATCGACTACATCGACACCATCTTGATATTATTGAACACTCAACAAGTCAAGCCCACGAGTCTGGTCGCGTACTATGCTACAACTGAAGACTACATTGCTTGTGTTTCAACCCTAACTTCCTGGCTGGATGATCTTAAGTTAGGAGAACCAACGTGCTCGCTTTTGCCCTCTCGTTCCTCTTCTTCTGAGTTGTAGGCTTTCATTGAAGTCGAGTCCCTTCCAAGGGGTTGATGTTCATTGTTGTCAATCAAACCTCCGTCCATCCGCCTTTCGGTCCTCAAAGCACGTCCATAATAAACAAGACTGGGTCGACTTGGGACGGACGCCTGTTCATGCAGTCTCTGTTTATTAGCGAAACAGCTTACAGAGGCAGACCGGAGGCGAAGACGCATCAACACAGACTCGGCACCGTCAACGAAGCAGCCCGCAGGAGAGAAAATCGAATAGAACTAAGAAGATTTTGGAGGTTGGAAACGCTCAAGCAAACGTGCCCTGCAAGACTAGATATCGATGATCTATTGCGGGTTAATGTCGAATCTCGTGGTCTACGACTGTGTGAATGCATTGGCTCGAACGTGTTCCGTGTAACGCCTTGGCCTGTGTTGGGTTTTCAGGGTACCAAGAGGGCCAGCTCCCTCGCGGCTTCGATATAGTAATCAAAGAGGTCCTCTACACTGTGTCAACGTGAATCTCTTCTTTCACTCTTGGATCTAATGATTCCTGTTTGTTCGTCTTCTCGAGGCCCAAGATGGATTTCAACGCTGCAGCCACTCAAGATCCTCGAGAAGTTGACCAGTCCACCATGGACTATCACGCCCAAGAACTGAACAACGCGCTCCCGTGTGGGCCACGAGATCAGTTGCGGGTTCCAGTTTCTCCGAATCACACTGGAAGCGCGGTGACGACGAAAGAGATGGCAACCACAACTTCTGGGGCAACCAGAGATCTTACTTCAGCCGTAACAGCTCGCTAATAGATACTGACGGCTGGCTTCGCTTCCTGTCTTGGTGATTGGCTTGATGTCAGGTGCCTAACCTGACAGTCTGACTAAGAGGGCCCACTAGGGCCCACCAGGGTCCCTGCTGGGGTATATAGATAAGGGGCACAGACTTCAAATCAGAGAGGCCAGATCCGATCGTTCGCCACAATACACACCTACGTTGGGCTGGTCCTCTATACGTCTCTCACTTCTCGCCAGCGACCCTGACACAATCGAATCTCAGCTTTTCTAAAGGGGCGAGAACCGTCAGGCTATGGAGGGCCAACAGCGGCGCACCGGCGCCTCAGCAGTACTCGGATGTCGGCCCGGATGTCGGCATTGAGCGATTTACGTGGCCGCCGCCGCAGAGCTACGACAGCAGAGCAGCGTAAGGGTACTATGATTATAAAAGAGAGCTCAGCGGCATGATACCTAGTAATCCAACGGCACGAGGCCGGCTAGGCACCGAGGGTACGGCGGCGGCTTAACGTTCAGAACCTAAGCCTTGAGGGCAAGGCTTCTGATGCGGGGGATAATGGCTGGCAAGGGCCACGAGACTTGCCAGAACCCACCGAGGACCGGTGCGGAGCACCGGCGCGGCGACGACTGGACGTTGGCGGACTTCGTGTCCCTATCATCTGAGCGGGTGGCGCCGGACCCATTAGAGATCCGGAAGAGCCGGAGACCTGCGCCCTGAGAGGAGGCGGGGGGGGACCAGGACGGTGCCACCCGCTTGGCCTTAACACGGGCGGGTGATAGACGAGAGTACGGATCGTGAGGGCGGCAGCCGGCTGGGGAGACGGCTGACCGACCTACGACCGTAGAGCCCAACGGGGGTTCCCAGACCCCTGTTGCCACGGTATAGAGCGGCTCCGGATCAGAGGCTCTGAGGTCAGAGCCTCCGGGGGAGGGAATCGTGACAGGTTCACGGCCAACGGCGGGGCCACGCGAGGGGATGGGGCACCGGGGGGCTTCGTGGGGTGCAGCCACTGTGGCACTGGCGGTGGATAAACGTTATCCCCTTATTGAGGGAATGAAAAGGGTATCCTAGGCGTGTGAGGCTTAGGAAGGGCAGATTCGAATGACAATCACCAATGGACCCTACGTGCACAGCTGACGCCTTCACTTGATACGACGCGGCCTGACACTTGGCCAACTTGGCCCTCGTTCACCAGCGCAACGCCTGGATCTCCTGCATCTTTTCTGCTCAGGGTCTCATCATCATCGTCCTCGGAATCGCGGCGCCGTACATGATTAGCGACTTGAGCTGGCGTTGGATGTACTACATTACGGCTTTTGGTGCGGCGTCCTTTCTTGTGGGCGTTTACCTCTTCACGCCCGAGACCAGATGGCCACGAACGCGCGCCGAAATGAGCAAGTTGACACCACGCATGATCTTTGTGGGAGATGCTAACAACGGACCTAAAGATGGCGTTCCTCGTAGTAAGATTGGCCATCAGCGTGGTCCCAGGACCTTTCGCTACAACATTGCCCTCTTCTATGGCAAGAATGGTTTGGCGCACGGGTTGGAATGCCTTCGTCGACACCCTTCGCACCTTCCTACTACCCGCAAATCTTTTTCGTCACCATGCTCAACAGATTCATGGTTGCTTGTGCTTTCGCTGCTGGTTATACAGTGGCTCCAGCTCTTTTGATAGCACCCTGGTCGTAAGTGCTTTGATCTCAAACTTGCTTGATAGACTTTGACTAAAATTGAAACAGATGGGGCTTTGTGAACCTCAGCCTCTGCCTCGTGCTGGTCTTCATCGCCGCCGTCGCCGTTGCCCTAGTCGCCGGAAGTGCCGCCGACTGGGTGGCAAATCGCACTGCGAAGAAGCGCGGAGTCCGTGTCCCCGAGAACCAGCTCGTGAGCCTCATCATCCCGGCCCTCGCCGGCATCATCGGCCCCATCTTCTTCGGCCTGTCTGGCTCGAACCAGGCACAGTGCCCCTATTTCACGTTCCTAACAAGCCTCGGTGCGATGGCGTTCGGCTTCCTGGGCGCCAACACCATTGGGGCGGTCTACGTCCTGTGCTATTCCCACCTTGCGAGCCCAGCTCTGGTCAACAATGCCTTGTTCCGCGGGTTGTTGGCGTTCATGCTGTCGTTCAACATCTTTGGCTGGATTGTAAATATGGGGTACTTTAATGCCATGATAATCTACGCTGGGTCGATTAGCGCCTGTGCTATTTTTGTTCCCGTGGTGTACTACTATGGACCTGCCTGGCGCAAGAGGTGGCCTGCTGAGCATTTCAGTGATCATATGTAACCGAGGTAATGGGACGATGATGGATGAAAATGAAACTGGAGGACGGATATCAAATGAATGGGAAGAACTTTGCTCATACTCCAGTAGGCGGGTTCTTGTAATAGTATTGCACCACTGCCTAATGGATGTTCAACGTGGCTCATGGGAACCTGACGAAAAAGACCTTTGCTACCGTGGAGCCTTCGGGAAGATGGGATTCTCTTAGATGTTCAATGAGGTTAAGATCTATTGTTAACAGTTTATCTCTGGCAGATGTTAAATTTGAAGTTCCTGCTCTTTCCTCTGATTTCATCAGGCTCAAAACTGCAACAAGCGAGGTTTACTCCACAGAGTCACAGAAAAAGTGTAAAATGCGGGCTGGCATCCTTGGAAGCGTCATACACACCTCTACAGTACCTATGTGGACAGACAGGCCTCCAACCAGTTGGTCGATAATGAATCAATGACGTGGATTGGGTCGAGTACACTTTCAAGTTACGAAGTTAGTCCAAGGTACAATCGAAAGCAGCCAGAAGCTGGTAAGGGAAATGGCCACACTGCTCAATTCACATCCTTTTCCAAGTCAAACGAGATGCTAGTTGAGCTGAGTTATATGAGTTCCTTCTGGTAGGATACGCTAATTATATCTAAATTTGAGTCTATACTGTCCCAACATCTAAAGGCAGACAAAAGACTTGTCCATGGCCGTGATGTATAATCCAATAAACTCCACATTATGCTGGGTATCAAGCGTGCCGCCTGCTCTATTACGTAAAATTCCCTTCGCTTCAACCGTCAAACCGGACCCTTGCCTCCATCACAAATACTCCCAAGGGAGTGTCGTTTATTTCTCGTTGTTGACCTGCTCTTCGGACTGCAATGTCGCCTCCGTGCTGGCAGAGCGAGGAGGAATAGAGACAGTATCATCCTGCCCCGCCGGTGCCTTTTCAGCAGCGGTAGCACTAGCAGCAACGATCGCCGCAGCATCAGCGCAGCGCTTGCGGATGGAGAAGACGGAGCCGATGTGGCCCACGAGCCACCACGAAAAGAGGACGGGCAACGCAATGTGCGTCAGGTCGGCGCAGCCGGACCAGACCTGCACATAGAGGGAGTAGACCTCGCGGGCCGGCAGGGCGTAGCCGACTCTGTAGAAGCCCGGCGCGATCTCGAACGGGAAGGCGCTGCTGGCGACGTTGGTGAGGATCCAGGTGAGGAAGAAGAAGGGGAAGAATTGCATGGGCAGGAAGGAGCCGACGAGAGATTCCAGGATCTGCCACTGCACGTCCATGAAGAACCAGAAGATGAGGAAGATCTTGCCAAACACTGCGCCGCCGACGGGTGAGGTCTCCTTGTAGGCCCAGATGTAGCCCGTGACGGTGATGGCGGTGAGGAGCCCGTGGATTTTGCCGACGGTGAAGCGGACGAGCCAGACGTCGCGTCTCCTTGCCTTGGCGAGGAGGCCGGAGCTCATGCCGATGCCGTTCTGGGCCATGATGTAGAAGAACTGGGCGAGGGTCGGGATGACAATGTTGACGGTGTTGAAGAAGACGCGGCTGGCCTGCACCTGCTCGCCGATGAGGTCGGGGGTGGACGAGATGGGGTTCAGATAGGCGGCGGTCGCTGCGTGGTTGGTGGCGTTGAGGGACCGGAGGGCGGCCGTGCCGTTGGCCGACTGGTAGTAAAAGGACCGCGACGCGCTGACCACCTTTTGGATGTTGCTGCCGACGAGGGAATCGGCGAGCGCGGGGTATCGGGCCTGGTTGTAGGTGTAGGTGACTGAACCGGCGGGGTTGTAGGCGGCTGTCGAGGCGCCGCTGACGGCGCTGGCGAGCTTCGCGGAGACGCCCGGGTTGATGTACATGGCTCCCCAGTAGCCTCCTTTGCATACCGCGTTCCTCACCGCTTCGGGAGTTGAGTACTTTGAGGGGGAGGCAAACTCGATGGTTGGGAAGTTCTCGGCTTGGAAGCTCTTAGCCGCGCCTTCTATTGCTGCACCGATAGCGCCGCCGTCCATGTCTACTGCGAGGATCCTGAGTGCGTGTGTGCGCTTGGCCTGCTCAAATGTTTCTCCGAAAAGATATGACATGTTGGCGAGAACGAGGACCAAGATCAATACCGATGCTATGACAATGGGCATGATGATACCCTTGCGCTGGGCGGCACTCCATTGTGATAGCGGTGTCCGCTGTGGAAAGTTGTTGGGTGACATGGCTGGTGAGTATCTCGTTCTAGTTCGTTACTGGCAGGTTACAATCGGGAGATGTTTTCGTATAGCCAGATTGGATATGTTAAGAGTCGAATCAGGTGTAGTTTGATAGTTGGTATCCTGAGGATGTCTTCTGAAAGGAGGAGAGTCAGTGAAGTAGGGCTGAGATGAACGATAGGGTGATATGGGCTCTTAAAGGGAATCGTAAAAATGAAGGTTCCCAAAGTGGCTCCCTATATAGCGCCCCTAGATAAAAAGGAGACCCATCATTTCAAGAAGGCGGAGACCGGCCGAGGCGGACGGTCAACGGGGACGGCAATCACACCGGGGCTCGGAGCCTTCTGAATGCCCTTATTCGTCATCATCCTCCTTTGTGACTTTTTAGACCCCCAACTGGCATGGATTCCTTTTGAGTTTCCTTCATGCTGGCAACTCGGAGTTAAGCAACCAGATGCTACGCAGCAAAGGACCGAGGCAACCTCGTTGACCTCCCTTTTCTGGGCAAGGAAGTACCTGCGATTGATCTAGGAAGTGGGTTGACTTGGGCTTTGGGTGTGGTCGAAAAGTCTTCCGATCCGCCGGTAGAGGGCGCAGAGGCCAAGGGGGTGCCGCCCCTTGTCCGATTTTCTAATTTGGATCCGGCCGCTAAACGGCACATCGGTGCTTAAGATTCCCGACCAACGGACTTTTTTTTTTTTTCCGCAGCAGCATCTGGCCGTTACCCCCCGGCCTATTGGCCGTCCAGATTTACGACACATGTCGGTAGATTAGACACCAAGACGTTTAATCATTTCACGACGGCATCAATTCGTAGACATGTTGACTGCGCAAAAGCATCAGGGCTTTTTCTGCTCTATTTGAATTCCATGAGGAACATTTGTCAGAAATACTCCAGGCGGGTTTGCCATAGCAGGCTTGCCGCTTGCATGTCCATTCCATAAGGTAGGCAGGCCATGTTGTCTTTGGTGGTTGGGGGCGGTGACGCCGACAAACCGACAGACACCGTTGGCCATCGGGTAGCAAAGTGCTGTTCGGGTGCTAAAAGGGTGGCTTCGGTCCCGAGTAATTGGGAATCTGGGCCTGGCGATCCACCATTGCTACCCGAATCGTCACGAACCCCAGTCTCTACCAATGATAACAGCTCACGGACTTGCGTCAGACTCCGGCCGAAGCCTAAATTTTAACACCAGAGCCTCACGAGCCACAGCCACCCGGCGATGAGCATTCGAGGCTAGTCATCGCATCATGCAACCAATTCAATAGCTGCCGCAGTAGCTGGGCACCTCGCTGCATCCATGACAACAGCCCCCCCACCTCTCCCTTATTACCTACAGGCTACCCTCATCATCCCTGTTTTCCAATAATTTGACTGTGAAGGCATTCGACCAAACGCCTACGGATTATTAACCAGCAATCTACGGATACCTAGGCTTTATCTCCGTGAAGGATCCGGGCCCGGCTAAGCAAACTCCCAGGTCGGGACAGCGGACTCCAGGCCGCCGCCGGAGCATGGCCCGCGCGCCTAAATAACGTTTGATCGGCAAGCCAGTCACAGGATGGATTGTGAACAACTCATCCATCACGCAGCCAAAAGATAGTCTCCGATTTGCATTCTCATGAAAAGACCGATACCGAGCCCATAGACATCGGCCAGTGCTGGATCTCGACTTTGGACACTACGTCATATTCAGGAACGACAACTATGACAACTAGGCCTGTGAACTTTCTTGTAAACCAGTACTGATAAGCCCACGATCTAATAAAGGGGAAGAACTCCTCTTGCTGTCGAGAATGCTTCTGTCGGCCCTTTTTCGATCAATCGCAACCTCTAAAAGCCATGTGTTTGACCTCTCTTCTAGAAAGCCTCAATGGGCTATGAATTTGCCATTCAGTGAGGTAATACATGTTTCATATTTTGTTGACTCAAAATGGCCCCTGAGGCTATTCTGACTCAGAGGAATATTGTCTGCTATCTACGGATAAAGTACGGATACCCACCGATCGAAATGATGTCAGATTCGCCCCACCTGCACGGAGATCGCAACTCTTTTTCTCTCTCTATCTCTATCTCTCCACGCTTTTCGCTTGCACATGTCAATACTAAGTCAGTCTCATCTCGCCCCAAAATCGGTTTCTGATCCAACAAGCAGTCTCATCAAGTGCCGTTGTAGGTATCAGTATGGCAATTGTCACAAATATGTTAAAGCCACCGCATACTTTGTTCCACACAATGCCGCAGGTCGGCCACTTACAGAGATACATGTAATTTCCAACAAACGGATGTCTCAACTCCTTTTTTTCTTCCTCGAGCTTTATAGCTCTTCGCATGATGGATTAAAGAATGCCACACTGGACCTGGTGATGTAAGAACGCCTTGCAATCTGCAGTTTTGGGTGAAGGCCTGACCCGTTAATATGGGCGGAAAGTGGCAACCAGCACGCCTGCAACCTGACATTGCTCATAAGAGGAGCATAAACACAAGTCAGGGAGCTTTTGAAGTAGTACGGGCCCGGGAGGTATGATAAGCCGGTCACATTTTGGCACCTCACGGACCTGGGTGAGAGCATCCATACAGCCGCTTGCGACAATGATCCTCTCCATACGGCACGAAATATGGCCTAGCATCAGCACAGACGGAGTCGTCTGCCACGTGCTTCTCACGTGTCGCTCACGCTATATCATGCAGTATATAGATTTGACCTTTTTCTTTGTTCACTGTGGGTTGATACAAGCCACTTTCTACCCACTTCATATGCCCAATTGCTGTGTGCTCTAAGTCGTGGCACCTTAGCCCTCACCAACGTAGACACACACTGGCAGAAGCCCACCTCGCGAGGCAAGAAGGTCACTGACTGCACCGAATCACCTGATCGGAATGTCTGTTTCGACAAGTTGTTTGAAATTCCGAAGGTGTAGACGTGAGCAGAGCCGGCATCCGGGCAGCTGCCTTTTCATATTTCGCAGCGCCTTCAATTTACAACTACCTAGTAATATTGTGACCACATTGAATCACAAACATAGATACTTGTGTAAATTCACTACAATTTGTCGGAACGAAACGACTGCGGCGGGTGTTACAGTAATTCGCTGCAGAAAGCTCGCAGGTATCATACTTCGCAGTCCGTTCGAGTTGACCACCGGAGATGGCCGCCATGCCTCACATGAAGTACCCCAGGATTCAGAGAGAGCATCACAAATGGCGCTATTGTTTTATAAATATCTAGCTCCTGGTAATTGAGCCGTACTGCGCCTTCTCGGACCGTTTCAGGGAGAATCCACGAAGACGGAAATCTATGGACTGTCTTCGCAGTTGGCAACGTCACAAGTAGGACAGTTGAGAGCTCTCCCACAAGCTATGGACTTGCCTGAAAGTCAATCTTTCGCACAATGGCTTTTGGATCAAGCCGCTGTCACCATTGAGGGGAACCGAAAGGAGGGCATTCCGTATCTTGTAGAAGAGATCCAAAGACGCATTGACAGACAACTTGAACTTCTCAGAGGAACTATATCGGCAAGTTTGTTGGAAGACTTTGCCGTGTGGAGATGAGTCGAGGTCGCCCTTGCGGAAGCAGCGATCTTCGAGCCTTGAAAGAGTTCGCTTTGTTGTGTCCTAGAAACCACGAAACAGACTTGTCGAAGAAGCTTTGATGAGAAATTTGCTCATTCATGTCGGTATTCTGTGCGAATTTAGAGTGTATGACAGGAGAGATCAGGTGGAAGAATGGGTTGAATGGTGACCTGTTGTCACCAGTCGGGCAGAGCACAGAGCAAGCAACATGCCATGTAGGTAGAAGGAAGCTAAATTTGCCCACACGTGAAAGAGAAGGAAGATCAAGTTCATTTGCCAAGAAAAAGATTAACCACGTGAGGAGGCACCTGGCAGGTGGCTTCGTCTATGCAGATATTAGGTACATGTAGGTTTCGTGACATCTAGTCGCAAAAAAGCTATCATGCTCGAGCCCGAATAGATATATGTATACCTCGAAAGCTGAGAAGTAAACGGATGCAGCCTAGAGATTCCTCACCAGCATTTATTGCTTCCAACTTTCACCTCTTCTTCATCAGCTCCACGTTATCGTTGGCTAGCTACATACTGCGGCTCGAGGTGTCCTCGCTTTCGTCCCAATTTGTTGACTTGAATAGCTCAAGAATCTTTTAGTCGGCCAGATGCGGATATTGCTTGATCATCTCGACCTGTTTGATTATTCCTCCTGTTCCTGGAGGAGCTCAAGCACTTGTCGTATACATGATTTACTTTTCAAACATCTTACCGACCATATTTTCATATCCAACATCTCTTCTCGCTATTTTCATGTCATGTGCATATAATTAATGCACTGAATATCAGGACGTCTCATTCGAAACGTAAGTTTCGCTTAAGAAGGAGTGGTATTGAATTATTTCATTCAACATCGCCTGGATAGCATTGACAAGTCCTTAGCTAAAGTCCGCAACCAACAAAAGCAACCATATTGGACAAAGTTTGAAAAAAGCGTTAGTCAGTCTAACAAGCCTGAGCTACTTTGCCGTTCAGTTAACAAATCCCTTTCCACTTCAAGCCAATCTTTGATCGTAGACAGGGCTTCTGGTACGCAACATGATTTTTCATCATGTGTTCCGGAATTGATGGCGAAGCTTTGACCGTGATATCTCACGAAACCCCTCAATAGTCAGCATTTATGTGTGAAACCTGAGTAGCGCGTTTGCAAATTGTCGTCCATTTGTTTCGATCAAGCTAACTTGGATCATTGGGCAATCTTACTCGTATGCAAAATCAGTCTTAGGTCGGCTTCGCAACATGCGTGGACCCTGTGCCAAATTGTTGGAGCCTTGAATCCGAGATTGAGTTTCGGGAGCGGTGCAACTCGTGGCGCGTTTGTTCTCTGTTGCAAGACAAGGAAACTCTGTCGGGGAAGAATTAATTACTCGATATTAGGACCGCGCAGAATCCCGGGTTGTGGGCAGTCCTCACCTAGTGTATGCCACGTAGCACCAGTTGAGCCTAGCGCTTGGCGCTGGACCTATAAGCTCTGAGGCGATAATTGCGTGGCCCCAGGCCCGTTATCTTTCTTCACCCGTCATTTTGTACCTGAAACTAAGCCTCAATTTGCGAAGTTTCACCACGGGCCGAAGCTAGCAGGGGCACGCCAAGAGGAGCAGAAAAGCCGCTCACTCGTTTTTATGCGGGGTCGAGAAACAGGACGCGCAGCACCTTGTTTTGAGTTTGCATACTTTCTTTCTCGAAATAAAGTCGGAGATCGTTGGTAGTTAATCGGCGCGCAAAGCTCAAATGCAGCCATGATCCATGACTGAGAGAAACGTCGCGGTGGCTAGAGGAGGAAATGAACCGACCATTGAATGGAGGCAAAAGTCACAACGACGCAAGTGTTGGGTTATTCACAAAGTTCCAAGCGGAACTGGGAGATATATTCGGTGAGAGAGAGAATATGTACGAAGAATTTGAATCTGGTAAAGCCCAGCAACCCGAAGCGTTTCCAGCCTAGGGAATTCTGATCATGCCTTACATGTAAGACGCATCGTAGTACCCGGCGCTGGTGTAGCTACTGCCCAGAATGCTGGCGGGGGTGACCGCAGCGCTGAGCTTCTTCGAGAAGCTGGCGCGCTTGCCCTGGGATCCGATGCCGGTGTTCTGGAACTCTCCAAAGAGGACGTTGCCGGTGCGAGGGTCGCCATCGTTCCACTGCTTCCAGCCCGCGGAGTTGATGACGTCGGACATGGTAGTCTTTTGGAAGACGACCTGGGCGTAGGAGCCCCAGGGGCGGCCGAGGTAGAAAGCACCGGCGGCAACGGTGTTTCCAGAGGCGGCTGCAATGTTGCAGCTGTTGAAGACGTACTCTGACTTGTAGGACGAGTTGGCGCGGCCGTTGGCTATTTTCTTTGTTAGCGTTTCTTGTCATTTTACTATCAGCATGGATGGTCAGCTCTCACCAGTGACATAGCCGACAGAGGCAGACACAACACGAAGGTCGCACTTCTCGAACCAGGCCATGGCCTTCTGTCCAAAAATGAAGTCCGTAGCGCCCAGGATGATGCACTTGGAGTACAGCTGGTTACCCTGCTGGGCGAGGAGGGTGTCCTGGAAACCGGTGAAGGAGCTGGCGTAGTAGGCGCTGTCGGCGTAAGCGCTGAGAGCCACGGCTTGGCTGCCCTTGCCGTAGGTGTTGGCGACGTTGACGTTGTAGAGCTTGAAGTTCTTGGCCTTGATGCGGAGGGTGGCGGTGGCGTCGTTGTTGAGGCCGTCGGCCTGGCTCTTCTTGGCAGTGATGGTCACCTTGTTGCCGGCGTAGCTGCTCGTGTCGGCCGTGTAACCGTAGATGGTGAGCTGAGCCGTCCGCTCGGGGACGAGAACCTGCTCGTTGTAGGTGCCCTGGTCAATGAAGATGCATTGCTTGGCCGAGGCGGTGGTGGAAAGGGCGTCGACGGCCTTCTGGATGGTGTTGTATTGACCGCCAGACTTCTTGACAGTCAGGCATCCAGAAGGGGCCGAGGTGCGGCCGGCTGCCAGCGCCGCCGTGACGAAGGTAAGAGCTGTAAGGAAAGACTTCATTTTTTCGGGTGGGAAGGAGAAGAATGGAAAAGAATGTGATCTTGGTTCGTCCCAAGGTTGGCCTAAGAGTAGATCATATGGCCTGGCAGCTATAGAGAGGCTTGACTCTCCTTTATGTACTTCACTCAAGAGGCCCACAAGGCTTCTAGACCCAGGGGGGGGAAATGCGAAAAGTTAAGAGAGCCTCGTCTTTCCTCCCTCCCTTCTCCGCGTGTTCTGTTCCTGTTTAGATGCCGGGTTACTCGCACAGGCCGAGCATTATTGGTGGAGACGGCCAACGGCAGACAGGAGGTGCCTCCGTAGATTAAACCCGATTAAACAACCAATCCCGGGTGTTTGAACTTAAACAAGGATAGAGTGGTGGCTAGGGTACACCCCGTAGGGCCAATCCACGGTCACAGGGGGTTCATCATTCTGCAACCGAGCTTTCTAGACCGGCCGCATCCTGTTGGCGGATTAATTTACCGATGAGACCATCTTGCACCGCTACGGAGATTGACGGTGCAGTTTGCCAAAGAGTCGGCGGTGGAGAGATTGAAATTTGCAGGGTGGCCAGTCCGGCACTCGACAAAGAGGTTGAGTAAGTAACCCGAGTGCGATTTTGGCTTGGCATCGTTTCTTGGACAGTGCTCTTCGCTCTCTGCAGCGTACACAGGGGGCCGACGAGTCAGACAGTCACAAAGAGCCCAGAGCGGCGAGGCAGCCTCATCCTACAAGGGAGAAACGGTTTGTGTGGATCGTCTGATGACAAGCTGACGAAACATTTGATTTTTTTAAACTTTATACTGGGAGTAAACTTGGCAGCACGAGAATCATAATAAACTTCAAATTTCCATCGTGGCCCTTTGCCATCGTCAGCAATCGGCTCAGGCCCGATCCAATGCTTATTAGTTCTGCGCTAAAACTCCGCTAAGTTGGGCAGTGACGGTTACAGAGCTCCGTGCGGGCAATTCTGTTATTCGCGGCATAATTCGCGATGTTGATCACCCGGACGTCGACAAATCCAATGCTTGAATAGGTAGGCTTCGGTACCTTCATGCCGTGTCTGCTTTTTCGGCTTCAGTATTCGGAATAGCCTATGAGAAGCTGTCTTCCTGCTTCTCAGAAATGTATCCATTAACACGAAGCCAGATAGTGGCTTGGCACTTTGTTGCAAAAGCAATGTGGAACCAGACGGCATCTCACAATATATACAGTGGCACACCTTAATATAGAAGACGGGAAAACTGAGGCCATCTTGGCCCGCATATCGCCAATTTTTACAAAAGGTATCTACTTTGGCAATGCACCAATTAATTTTTCACCTGACCAGCCGTCAAACACGTGTACTTACCGAAACAGGCTACTCTCGGCTACATGACTTGTTTATTTTCTGAGTTCTTGGACTAAATCGGATCCCGGTCGCGGTTACGAAGTCAAGTCAAACGCAAATGCGATCTTTATTTAAACACACAAACGCCCTCTATCTAACACCATTTAACAACAAGCAATAAGCGTCCATATGTTGTAGTCAAGCTCTCGACAAAAACTCCACACCTTACCCATAAACCAAATGTTTACAGGATGATGTTGCGAGATAAGCCTCTCGATTTCTCATCCAGTCGTCTCACCCAGCCATCGAAACTTTCGAGTTGCATGCACGCTGTGGCGCAGCAGGTCCAGGGGTTGCGGGTATCTCGGCCTCAAAATTCCTCGCTACCGGGCAATAGTCAAACCTGACAGATACGGTCTACCCAATTCCGGTCTTATTGCTGAATTGAATCTTGAAGGACGTTTAGCAAGTTTCACATAATATTTGCACTTGAGGGCCATGGGTTCACGCGACATGGATCTTTTGCTGCCGACACCCGATCGGAATGATGATGTAGCATCGAGTTCTACCAGACAGCTCGGCATTTCAAGGCGAACAACGATCAAGGGGCAGATTTCCTTTTGCACGTTGAAGAATGCGCCACATTGTATGGGCGTCCATTACTTAAGCCAGATGAACGATCTGAGAAACCTCTGAAGCATCAAGGCTATATTCTCTTTTCATCAGTGATGGGTGTCCAGTGGTGTGCCACCATTTTCAAAGGAGTTCGGGCTCAAAGTTTGAACAATCGAGAATGTTAGGTCCTGATTCCGAGCTGCAAAACTCTGACTCCTTTATTTTCATAAGTAGCTTGCATGCTGCGTACAAGCCACTCACTCCACTGATGAAGACTAATTTGAAATTGAGTCCAAAGCTGACCTTGCTTGAGCAACATCAGGAAAGGGATTCTTGCATTATTATACTTTCTATGGATACTCAACCTGCCAATGTCATTGTCGGAGTGGAAGTCCAATCCGACCGCTGAGTCAATGGATCCAACGGATCCACCGAGCTGGCCCATATAAGTCGGCAGACGCCTTCTGGCCGGCGGCGCAAACCTGTGCTGCCACAGTATGCCACTTACTACGGAACGACCGTTCCGTGAGCTCGCTCCGTACGGCACATGAATCCACGATCCCGTATAAGGTCTTCTCTTAGCGGAATCAAGCCATTTACTATTATATATGCCCTCCGCTCTAACTCTCGCTTTGTGATATATGTTGACGGACTGTGCAACTCTTTCATGTAGACGACAGACATGAAACGTATCAAAGGCCAGTTCGGCATATTTTACCATCTGCTCAATCGTCACTATTGTCTTACGCCTCGTCGATCTTGCTCGTATTCTGCCTACACTAGGTACTTGACGAAGTAACTGAAACAAGCGCACCAACACCGGCCTTTCTGCATTTTATCCTTTGGGCCGCTTGCTGTGAAAACCTTCGCACATTTTCCTCATTTTCTTCCACCTTGAATGTAGGCGCTTGTGATCTGGTTCTTGTTTATCTTAGCGTTAACACAGACGCCGTGTAAATTCGAGCATCGGGGTGACACAGGCTGACGGACTGAGCTGAGTTTTCCAATGCCTGCAGTCTTGAAATACTTGTCCCAGCGCTAGTTTTCCTTGCCATGTGCTCTATTGCCTTAAAGTGAGCGGAAGGACGTCGGTGGGAAGTCGATTTGATGCAACGAAGCAAAATGTCCTGGCCTCGGCGCAAAGAAAGTGGAAAGAGAGTCTGCCTTGGAGAAGGCGTAGTTTCATCTTTCGCAATTACATCGTGCGTCTAATAAGCTATAACCGAGCCTCCGGGTCGTGTTATCGCACGTGTCGTTGCAAATAAATGCAACGAGCTGCCTAAGTAAACTCAACACCCTAGGCAAATAATGTGAGTGAGTGTTGCCAAGATAGAAACAGATTTCCTCCAGAGTCTCATAGAACGTGCGGTGAGGATATTTGTCTCCAAACTCGATTCTCACATTTTGATGAGCTGGTCAAGGAGTCATTGACGTCTAACAAGCCATGCATTATGTCAATCTTGTCTTGCCACAAAGATGTCCTTGCCCCGGTCCTCAATTGCGCAAATAGTGTCCACAACCCGAAACCAAGAGAGAAAGAGCCCTGGCGTGTTAGACTGCGGGGTTGGGGTATTGGCGAATAGCTTGCGCTGAATATTGCAGAACAGATTGTTATCGGAATTGTTGTGGGTGAGGTCGATAGCGGTTCCCTTGCGCGAAGTCTGGCGCGAAGTGTTCAGAAGCTGGTTGGCCAACTCCGGTCCCGTCAGCTTTTTAGTGATAGTCCAGTCAAGGAAGTCGTGCAGGACCTCAACAGCGGTCGGGTTGTTGTTTTGTAATGTAATCATTGCAGAAGTGAATTCATTCTTGTTGATGTCATTTTTTGCCAGGGTCTTGGTTAAGCCCTGCACAGCTTCGAGGAAATGCAGCGACTCGCGGACTTCAGGAGTCGGCTTGATGGCTGGTTTCTCCTTGGTCTTGCCGAAAGCATTGTTAGAGGTGGCGTAGCGATCTGTACCTAGATTTCCCAACCTGGAATTCCTAACCTTTTCTCCAAGATTTCCTAGTTAGGGAACGGCCGAGAAATCCCTAAGAATTCTCCAAGATTTCCTCGGAAATTCTAAATCTCTAATTCTCGTCAACCAAAAGGTAGACTCCTGACCCAAAGTGGATCATCTTGAAGTTGTGGAGGAAGATGAGTTTCATAAGTGAGACTTCGGTTTTCATTCCGATGCCATCTGCTGTGTCAATCTTCTTCATCGTTCAAGGAGTAGAATGGCATTATTCGAAGAGTTCACATTACCTATCCTTCATTGAGCATATACATATTAACGTTACCATCACTCCACGAGCGCGAGAGAAGTCTGGGTTACGTGCCAAACAGTTTGAGATAACACTGAAACTATAAATGATGAGGCTGATCAAGGAACCTCCTCCACCAGCGAGGCTGCCGTTGCTTAATAATATTGACTTGACAAAGTGGTCTACTAGATTTAACACTCGGCATAGGGCTATTGATATGAACCTTAAAGTTAATACTGAGATACATCTCTCCAGTGTAGGTTCAATCTAGCAATAGAAACAGTTAGCAGATCTGAGGGTCTATCCTTAAATATTACATCCCACATTGATCAGCTGGAATCCGCTGTTCATGCAGAGTTCTCTCACGTTCCAATAGCTGTGATAACACCGTCACTATAAAAGCAATAGAAAGTCACGCTTTCAAGTGAGGGCAAGATATTTTGTCATCAACAGCGCATTCTATAGTAAATTTCTACCCCAAGCTTGTGGAAGGAGGTAGGGACACGATGGCAATACTCTTTTGATTTAAATTTGAATATTAGGGGGGGGAGGGGGGGGGCTATTGTCATTGTCGCCAAACAAGCACCGTTAATTGCGGGCATCAACTAACGCCGAGTATGCCCTAAAACAGTTATAGATACCAGTTGTGCTCGAGGACCATCCAGGCCCCGCCTCGTTGTAGCGAAGATTACTTGGATCAAGGACTTTAACCCGGCCCTTGCCCCCTCAAGACCTAGCCATGCCCTTTCGTGCTGAAATGGACCTGGGCTCTGTGATATTTTCCCTCGGTTCTGACAAACTGTCGAAAGAGACATCCCGCGCAAGCAAGGCCAGAAAGCTCTTGTCCATCTCCCCAACCAATATTGCCCAAGCAATGTCAGCATCAGAAATGAATCGCATTGGGAGCTTTCTCTCCATCGGCCTACTTGGAAACAGCAGGTTTGTACTCACAACATCTTGCATGTAGTACTCACAACATCTTGCATGTAAGCCTTTCAGCGGGAGGGCCTATGAGATCTCCTTCTCATCAAGTACATCACGTCTTTTCACCATTAAAGACACCATCTCTGTCACAGTCTGTTTGGCCAATCGCCTGGATAGGAGGTGAAACGCATTGCGGCTGTATCACGGTACCTTGAGTTGAGTTTCGTGCGTGATACAGCTGACGTTAGTGCTGCCCGTACTCAATGCATCACTTGCGCGACAAACGCACCACGTATAGGGACCTAGAAGCATCTTGAAGCATTGAACTACACTTTTGTGCTGCTTGACTGTTCTTGGAGAAAGCAAGAAATCTCTTCGGCCAAGGTATAAAGACTGCATGTGCTATCTCCACTTGCTTGACTGACAAAAAACTCCACAGATATCGAAAATGGACGGCCAGCGGCGCCGACGGACAGTACGTTACAGGCGAGATCTCCTCGCAGCGCCTCCGTTTTCGCTCAGTCAGCTTGGCTTTCGTCTCTACATTCATCATCAGACTCGTTGAGAAATGTCCTGATATTAAAGTGGACGGAGTATGCCTGAGTCTTCATTCAAGTCCAAGACTATCAAATTCATGATGGAACACCGGTAATCAGCGTCAATGGGTGGAACTGAGGCCTTCGAACGGGCCGTATTCATGCCGGCGTTGCGCCTTTCATAACCGGCATCTAATTCCTTATTCCCGTTACCGCTAGGTAAGGCTACGTTGACTGACCTGGTAAATGACCCACGCAGAGTGCTTTTGCTGACGTGATGGGGGG